CTAAAAAAAATTTGAATAAAAACTGTCCTTCATATAGTCTGTTATGACACACAATGATGATACCATGGTTTGTTCGTCCATCTAAGGATGATTAGTGGGACAGAGATGAAAACCGATAAACTGTTTTGATTAAATATTTTTGTCACAGACTAAAGAGGAGTTTAGGAAGAAGATGAGTGGCTACAAACCCAATACACAAAAAAAGGTCAATGGCTCCTTGTTCCTGAAGCCCAGCTTTCTGAAAGCTCCTCCTGCTGTGGACTGGAGAAAGGAGGGCTATGTTAAACCTGTTAAAGACCAGGTAAAATATTTTTCTGCCTTTTTTTATCTCCAAAATTTGGTCAAAAGTCAATCTAGCAGCAACAAAGAGAGGGTTGTGTAAAAAACTGTTAAAAATAGTCATTTTGTTTTTCATTTATTTATCATTAAAATCCCTCCTTCACCATCATACGGTATTGTTTACTCCCTCACCCTTTGACGTATACCATCACTCAATGGAAACCAGTTCATCCTGCTCTAACGAACACCGGGATGAAGTAAACAACATGTACAGGCTTGTTTTAAATGATATGAACAGGATCAAGATTTTATAAATATCAGTGAGTCTTTATTAGTGTCTGAAAGTATTCTTTTTGGCAGGTCTGGAGCTTCAGGTTTTGTTAAAACAATGCCGAGGAGGACAGTGAAAACTACCAAAGACAGCTGCCAAAGCCAGATAGTCTTCTTGACAAGATGCTCTTCATACTGTGACAAAGCATGAGCTGTTTTGCAAAGAAAAACAGTTTTGTATCCCCCTGCCAATCATCTCCCTGTTGTTTTAATAGCAGCTAAAGATTTTCAGCAATGTGTAGAGTCAGAATGGCTGAATATAAATCGATCGAACCCTCACTCATTAAAATTATTTGGTTTTCGTTCCTAAGTTCTGCTATTGTCACAAAGATTCTGTAATTGTTGCCTAAAGTTGTATATCCTGCCTCAGTCCTCATCTTTGTTGTCTTCAGGGTAGTTGTGCCTCCTGGCCCTTTAGTGCCACAGGGGCAATGGAGGGCCAGCTCTACAGAAAGACTGGTAAACTAGTGCCGCTGAGTGAACAGAACCTAGTGGACTGTTCTAAACCAGAGGGTAACTATGGCTGCAATGGTGGTTGGATGGACAAAGCCTTTCAGTACGTTATAGACAACCATGGTCTGGACTCTGAAGCATCCTACCCATAGATGGGAAGGGTACGTATCTTAAGAGTTAGAGAAGTCAAAGTATAAAGGATGCAAAAACGGCCTTTGATTGAGAATGTCAACGCAACTCACCTGTGTTGTGCTTTTAGGACATGCCCTGCCGCTATAATCCAAGTTACAACTCCATCAACCTCACAGGATATACAGACATTCCCAGTGGGAGTGAGTCAGCTCTGATGAACGCAGTGGCCTCTGTGGGACCAATTTCTGTTGCTATTGATGCCGGTCACTTTTCTTTCCAGTTTTACCAGTCAGGTAGGTGGTGAAATAAAAACGTTTTTTCATTCAGATGAAAAGATAAAAGACAGAAAACTTTATTGAGATATTAATGACAGTGAGTAAAATGTCAATCTAAACATCTTACTGGGTTTCTGAACGTAAACCTGCATTTAACTGAATGCAAAGCTGACTTTCTGACAGAGTTTCTAAAAATAATTTTGTCTCCAGAATAAAATGATTGAATGTGTTTCAGGCATCTACTATGAAAAATACTGCAGCAGCCAGAGGCTGAACCACAACGTGCTGGTGGTCGGTTATGGCACACAAACATTTTTTTCTTCTAATCAAAGCTATTGGATTGTCAAAAACAGGTAAAAGAAAATGAAAAGTCACACATTTGATAGCCTATTTCTTTCCCGTTTCAGCAAAGGATATTATGAAATCACTTAACAAGGGCGTTCTATCTCATCAATTTCCGAAGCCAAAGCTTCCTGATGAGAAGGGGCAGATGAGTTATGAAGAAGGTAATAATGAAAAATAAGTGAGTCAAAGACTATGGATGAGGAAAGTAGAGATGAGAGATAAAGGAGGCAACAAGTAGTAATGGTGTTATAAATGTTGAATTAATGATAAAGTAAGGATCAGGAATGAAGGGATCATGAATAATGGATAAACTATATTTGTTAAATATTGACCTAGAAGGTTAGTAGAGATGAAGGTGGAGAGTAGAAAGAATGAGGATGGTAGACATAAGGAGCCCAAAGGTAAGAATAGGGAATGACTTTAGGTAAGAGAGACGAAGGAGTAAAGATTAGAATAAAAGAAGGGAAGCTACTAATGAAGAAGGAAGAAATAAAGTAGGGATGAAGGAAAGAAAAAGAAGGGATGAAGGGTTGAGTGAAAGGGAGAGTACACCTTGATAGCCACACTTGTTCTGTTTTCAGTATAATGTTCCTCTCTGCTTCATTAGAAATTCAGTAGAAATTCTAATATTTGTCCTGAAAACAGCACAAGTTTTTGTTTTTTAAAAAGATTTTTTAATACCACATAATTTTCCTGTTGTTTTTTGTTATATAAATGTTAAGACTTTGGTGTAAAGTGATCTTCACTGAAAGACAGAGCAGATTGAGAGCAGCAACACAAGTTTTTCATTCTGTGGATTTGTCTCGTTGCAGCTGGGGGGTAGCCTGGGGAAACAACGGCTATATCTACATGGCTAAAGACAGATACAACAACTGTGGAATCGCCACAGCAGCCATTTACCCTCTGGTCTGAAAAAGCATCTTGACATTGAAGAAGCTGCACTATTTACCCATAATTCAGCAGCTCCTTTGATGGTTCTTGGCCTGAGGGAAAAAAAGAAGAATGAAAGTTATATACCTGTATAATTGAGAGTAGCTAAAATCTTGGTTTCTTATAGCCGCTTGGTTTATATTGCTATTATTTGATCCCTGCTGTTTTGTTTTTTGTTTGTTTTCATTGTCCACTCTGTTAAAAAAATAAAATAAAATAAAAAACTATCCACTGGACTTTGTTTCCAAGTTTGAAGAAGGTTTGCTTCCCATCCAGGAAGTTTCTTCAATTCAAACTGTCAGAATTACCTTTAGGTTTGAAGCTTTATATAGCAACCATAAAACCTTATTTTGGCTTAGAAAAAATAATAATGAACAAAAAGGGGTCTGCCCCTTACGAATGGGGAGTCATTTTGGGTTCTTTGTTAGCCTGCAATAACTGATATTGGGCTATGCCTCTGAAAAGGTTGTTGTTAGGGGAAATTGTTGGCTTGGCTGCCAGGGCAAAATGTTTGCCCCTGCATGGGGGTGAGGGGTTGAAATGATAGTGGCAAGGAATCAACTCTATCGCTGCATTGTAGGTTTTTGAGCGGTGAACCTGAGTTCACCCCTTTGTTTAAGGTTGTTTTTTCTTTCTTAACATAAATGGCTTCCTTCATGACACTTTCAAACCACTTGTCCTCTTTGTCCAAAATGTAAACATTCTGGTACTCGAATCAGTGTCCCTTGTCCTTAAGGTGCAAGTGGACAGCAGAGTCTTGTTCCGAGGAGGTTGCTCTTCTGTGTTGAGCCATGCGTCTGTGGAGAAGTTGTTTGGTTTCTCCAATATAAAGATCAGAGCATTCCTTGCTGCATTGAACTGCAGTCAGCATGGTTGTGTTAATCATTTTCTCTCATTGCAGCTGGAGTAAAAACTGGGGCAACAATGGTTACATCCACTCCGCTCATCTTAGGTCTGGGGTTTTGTTTTTAGGATGCACTATCCTCTGTTTAAGGGTCTTGAAATGTACTCGAGTTTTGTGTTTGGAGAAAATCTTCCTGAGGCCTTAAGAGGCATAGCCCAGTATCGGGTATTACAGGCTAACAAAGACCCCAAAACGACTCCCCATTCCTAAGGGGCGGACATCGTCAAACTTGGAAACCAAGTCCAGTGGATTGTTTTTGTTTTTTTAACTTTTTTGGAATGACTATTACCTAGATCAGCGGTTCCCAACCACCGGGCCGCGGACCGCTTTGGTACCGGGCCGCACAGAAAAAAAAAAAGAAAAATAAATATATATATATATAATTTATCAATGATCAGAGTCTGAGTGATGTTTTATTTTGAAAAATATAAAAAATTGCGGTATTCTCTCCTAATTCCATCAGTCGGTGCATCTGTGCCTCTTGACACAGGTTAATTCAGTTCAAGACTCATCCTATCTATAACATCCTATCTTTGTGAAGCAGGATTTTCTGCAGTTACAGCGACCAAAACAAAGCTACGGAGTAGACTGGACATCAGGAGCACACTTCGTGTGTCACTGTCTCCGATTAAGCCTAGATGGGACCGGCTTGTTTTATTTTTGTTTTTTGTTTTTGTTTTATTTTTATGCTGTTTGTATTTGATTTTATGCCAGTCGTATCATTTTACTTGATCGTATTTACCCCCCAACACCCGGCCGGTCCGTGAAAATATTGTCTGACATATAGCGATCCATGGTGTAAAAACGGTTGGGGACCACTGGTCTAGATGACTGAGAATCTTCACCAGCATTGTTCACTCTGTCAATTAATAAACATAAGCATCAACTTTTTATTTTTATTTTCTTCCTATTTTTAATATAACCGATTAAAGCTTTGAATTGATCCTTTGAACAGACTGATATTTCTCATTGATCTGTTGTTTTTATTAATACAGTTGTGGGAAGTAGACGCATTCATTAAGTAATATGATTCCATTGGGTTTAAACAGCCCATCAGTTTCTCATCATGCTGGTTTAACCAGTAAAGTAAACGATCTTATGATCCCTTTTTAAGGCATCATCTTTCATACACGTTAAACCTTTCCAATTTTACATTTCCATTATTTGACGAAAGCGTTTTATTTCCACCTTATTTGGGTTTGTAGAAGAATAACAACTAATTTCATAAGGTTTCATCTATCCGACTATTATTAAGCTTATGATGTAAAACAAAGAGGAAGAAAAAAATACTATTTTTAAAATTGCAACCTATGTTTTTAATCTTTGTTTTAACAGTATTTAAAATAAAATCAATCCAGATAGTAGTTTATGCAAGTAAATGAAAACTGAACAAAAATATAATTACCGGTATTTAAAAAATTAATAATTTATTAATTTTTTATATGTTATTTTATATTTTAGAAAGGGCGTGTTATAAGTGTTGATACCCTGAATAGTAAGCAATGGAGGAGTCTTTGGTGGCCCTACAGACATGAAATCTTTCCTACAGATGCAGACCAGCTTTTGTGCTTGAAGTCTTGTCTTGTTATATCCATCTAAACGATAAAAGGATGTTAAAGTTTAAAAAAGAGTTTAGGGTTAAGTATTAGGTTCACAGTGGGTAGAGAGTCAACTATAAGGCCTGTTTTCTGGAGGATATTTGCTATATGATGCTTCATGTTCATAAAGGATCTCACACACCAAATGGTTTTAGGTCCTTTATTACTTTCTGTAACCTCTGAAAATAATAATGAAACCAGAAAATGTTTGTAAACAAGCAGCAGCATATATATTTTATCAATTACGTACATAAATAATATGAGTCTGTTTGCCTAAATCATTGCACTGCCTAATAAGCTAAACTTTGAGAATTTAATCTCCTTCTTTGTCTCACTTCCTGCAGAAAAAGCTGCAGGGAGTCACATGGAATATTGCTCAAAGGATAATTGGTAAAGTAGCATCTGTTGCAATGCCACAGTTGTTGTTTCTGTCCTTAGCCATGTAGATGTAACCATTGTTGCCCCAGTTTTCACTCCAGCTGCAATGAGAGAAAATGATTAACACAGCCATGCTGACTGCAGTTAGGATGTACAATGTTTTCCCTAAGAACCTTATTCTATTCATAAGCCTCACTTTAAAACAGCTTAGGTTAAACACAAGAAAAGAATGAAACCCAAGCAAGATATTAGTATTAAAGATCTCACTCACCTGTTTTTAACAATCCAGTAATTTTGATCAGAATAGCCGTAACCCACCAAAAGGACGGCATGGTTGAGCTCTTCTTTACTACAATCCTCCTCATAGTAGATGCCTTAAACACACAGAGAACCATCTTATGCTACCTTCCCAGTAATTATTTTAGACTGAGTTTAATGGGAGCAGGAATGCCTATAAAGTCTGGAAGTTAGGATCTGTGATTCATTAGGAATCCTCCATCTGGGATTCAATTAAATTAGAATAATCTTGTATCAAAAACTTAGTTTAAACCTGTATGTTTCAACTCTTAAAGATTAATAGATATTTTAAAAAATGTACTTTTGAATTTAATAATATACCAAATGATTTCACACAAAATAAACCTAAAACAAAGTTGTATAAAGTGTTGGCCTGTTTCCTCTATTCATTTTGTATCTAAAGTGATACATTAGGCTGTCATAAAATGGTTACGGCCAAAGATGTTATTTCACATGCATTATAAAATCCCCATTTAAACTTGATCACTTTTAAAAGTCAAAGCTAAATAAAGTTAAACATTTATCATTTATTTTGTATTGTTATATATTTAGCAGCTTTTATTTATACATCAGAGTTTTTGGGAAGCAGTAACCTTGTCAGAGAAAAATAACTCTTAGAAGGAATTTAAAAATGATACAGCTGATTTTAGAGATCAAAACTGTTGGGTGTCTAGATTATAGTACGTGGGCCATTTGTTGACCCAGATTATATTGTCTGCAACATCTTTTATTTTTACAGGGCAGATTTCTTTAATTAATGTTTTCTTTTAAATAGGAGTTCTACCACAACTTTTGATCTTAATTTTATAGAGCACTTTAAAAAAAAGCACACTTCTATCTAACTTTGTTGGATGTGGCAAGGAAGACATAGTGTATTTACCGTAGTAATTGTTGTAGAGAAATGGGTGAAATCTTTCTTTTTAAACTAATAAAAGAAAAACATGGTCAACTAACAACACTTATTATTATTAAAACATTGAGTAAGAATGTGACAGTATAAGTGTCATTTTATCCCTTAGAATTTTTTTTTTTTTTAGGCTGGAGGATATATATTTTGTTAAAAAATAATTTTTTTTAAAAGTTTAACGCGCTTACCTGACTGGTAAAACTGGAAGGAATCACGGCTGGCATCTATAGCCACAGAAATAGGCCCCATGGTGGCTACAGCCTCCATCAGGTCTTCTTCACTCCCACTGGGGATGTAGGCGTACCCATCAATGGTGATCGCATTGTAGGACTCATTATAGAAACATTGGGGGTTGTCCTGGAGACAAGAAGTTGAGCTTCACATTAAATGACCTTAAGGATGGGAGCTGGGATGTAAAACTTGCTTCCTAACTGTCATTATATTGACATACCTTTGCCAGGTACGGGTACGATGCTTCAGAGTTCAGCCCACCGTTTGTGTAAACATACTCAAAGGCCTTCTTTGCTAAACCACCGTCACATCCATGGTTGCCTAGAGATCTAGAGCAGTCCATCAGGTTCTGCTCGCTCAGGGAAACCAGTCTGCGAGTCGCCCTGAACAGCTGCCCCTCTAGAGAGCCAGTGGCGCTGAAAGCCCAACAGGAGGCGCACTGACCCTGAATACAACATTTGAAGAATGGTGTCAGGTTGTGGTATGTGGGCAAATAATCTGACTTCACAAAGTTCAATAACAATAAAGTTTCCTTAGGTTTAGCTATAAATGACTTCTAAAATGCATGACTTGGGTGTGATGCATCGGAAAGGCATCCACAGGCTTTGTTTGTCCTCAGATAAGGCAGGTAAAATTTGTGACAGTGTCTCTTCACAAAACTTTTCAGGAGGATGCAGATCTTGTTACCTGGTCTTTAACTGGTGTAACATAGCCCTCTTGTCTCCAATCTACAGAATCAGGGACCTTCTGGAAGCTGGGTTTCTTGAAAAAAGTCCCGTTAGCCTTCTCCTCTGCCTTTGGTTTGTAGCCATTCATGATCTGCTTGAACTCCTCCTTAGTCTGTAGGAAGAATTTTTTAGTAATTAGGACAATCTTCAACAATTCATTAGATGTGTCCGATTACAAAACAAAGAAAAAAAGATGTTTTAGGGAAGAATCTACTCAGTTACTTTTTGATCTCTTTATTTTTCTTGGGGGATTTTTTTTGTTTATTTTACGGCAAGCCATTAAAACTTTAGTTCTCTGCAAACAAGTTAGAAGTCTTTTCTGTTTTACTAGACTTTGGAAACAGCCTGTAAGGTAATTTTATTACACTATGAGCATTCACTTTAAAAAAGGGCTGTTCACCTATTTGGTACTTACCATTCATGCCAACTCTAACGGCTCATATGGGTCAGCTCCTGTTATCATTGAATTCAAGATCAGAATAAAGTACACTCAGACGCACTCCTTTTATTTATTTGGTATTTTTTTCTGAGTAAATAGTTGGTGTATATTTGCAAGTATCAGTTTTAAAGTTATTGAAAAAATGTACTCCAAACATTTCAGATTTCTATTCGATAAAAACTATTGAAAGTCAAATTTCATTTTGCTTTTGTTTCACAGTTATTTATACTCATCACCTTCCACTTCCTGAGGACCAGGTTGTGGGGATAATTGGCTTAGCTGGCTGGTGTCCCTTTGCTACCTACATTAATGATCCTGTTGACGCCATGAAAGGTGAATAAACCGTAGCTAGTAATAGAAGCTGAGGGCTCCGATTTCCTGTATTTGGATCAAGCTCTAGAAGAGAAGCGGCTCTAAGGTCAATTAAAGCTTTTAGTTCATATAGAAGGGAAAAAAAGGCAATTATAAAGAAAAAAGGTGAACCCTTATTGCATATTGCTGCCTATTCTGATCCTGTTTTTGATGGAGATTTCTTCCTTTATCCCTCCTACAACAAGGTTGTCATATAGTAAATATATGGAACTATGATGGAGGCTTAAACTGAAGCAAACCGATTAACTCATATATCCATTTTCTCTATCTACCTGGGAGAACAGTACCTATCCAGCAGTTACTGTTGCTCTATATGAATCAACTGCAATCAATAGCTTCCACACATTTTAAGCAAAATGTTTTCAGTAGCATCATTTTTGTTGAAGCACCTTTTTACCTTCTCAGGTTATAGTTATGAGGATGCAGGTCTGAAGTCTTACCATGTCTGCAAAATGGTTTATACCCAGCCGGTAGCTGTGTTTGCCCATGGAGTGCTCCAGGTTGTGCAACTCAATCTTTTTCAGGTTCTTTTCCCAAACCATTCGTCTCCAGCCTTCCTCTTTCTGGAAAAAAGCAAACTTACAATGACTCAGCTGTTTCTGGTCAAAATTAGATAGTAAAGATTTACAGCAATGCATACAAGTGAGGCAGAGTGACCTTGGCTATTTCAAATTTGATCAAAATTAACGTGTTTTATAATGGGAGCGTTCATTATTTTATGTATGAATAGACTGTTAAATGATTTGTATAGGACAACATGGTAAAATATTACATCTTTTTTTTCTCCCACACTGTTTACATTTGATTACTGCTGCACTTTGGAAATGTCATGAAAGCTGTACAAACGAAATTTCGTTTTGTATACACTTTGTGTATACAAAATGACAATAAAAGTAGTCTAAGTCTAAGTAAGTCTAAGAAAAAAAGAACTTTTTCTACCTTTGTTGCATCTTTTTGTACTTTGTCTGAGTTACTTCAGTTTTAATTAATTAATTAATTATTTTTTTATATTATTTTGCCATATATCAAGGTATTTTGGGTGGGATGTACTTGTATTCAAACTACGCACTTCATAAGTCATCAATTAAAGCCATCTTTCACCTCATGGTATGTTTTATTGTAACGGTCCATCCACAGCTCCCAGTGCTGATCCAGCTGTGGGTCTCGTCTCGGGGCCCCCAGGACTGCAGTCACGTGGAACGTCGTTACGACTAAATGCAGCATTGTTCTGATCTTCCTTAAAAGGTGAAAACATATTTAATACAATAGACAGGATGCATAACTAATGTATAACCTCCATACATAGTTAAACTCTTAACCGAGCTTTACTTCTACTGATAACTGCATAATTAAGGAATTCTTACACAGAACCTGTTTGTCAACAAGTAGACTAAAATAAACTTCTTCATAATCATACTAGGAAAAACATATTTTATATTTAACCCTCAAAATAGCATATCAAATAAAATAAAGCAAAAATGGGAACAATGATAAAATGCACATAAAACCAGTAAATCCCTAACTCTAATGCGGTAAAATGTAAAGTGTGCTTTTTTATGACAAAACATAAAAAAAAAAAAACAGCAGCATTATTAATCCACTAATAACATAAAAACTGCAGTGTCTTCAGCAGTAAAATACATTTATCTAACAAGAAATGAAACAAAACTCTAACAAAAGGCCTTATAGAAGGCATGTTATGTGTACTGAAATACAGTGTTTGTGAGAATAGGAAAGAAAAATTCTAAAGAAAAAAAAAAAGGCACTTAATCATAAATACAAAACCTACAGAAAAACATTTTCCATTTTAAGATCAATGATATTTGAGTGGTGAAAATGTAAAAAAAAAAAGTTTTACCTCTGAAAATGTAGGTATAAATATTGAAACTTGCTGCAGCACCCTTTCTGTTGATGAAGAAGATTCAGAGGATAGAATCCTTTCTGCAGAGGGTCAAGATGCTTTTAAAGACCTGACTAGACAGACTAGAAAGGTGTCAAGCGTTCTGATTGGTCCGTTTGTCTAGGTGGTCTACGTTTTATCAGGTGATGAGGTTCCTCGCTTGGAAAAAGTGCTGAAAGTAGTCATGGAGGAACAGGTAATACGACCTGACCTATGGTTGTTTCACATGTTAAGGTACCATCGTAGTTATAGAAGAAATTTACACATATGAAAACTGTAAATTAATAAACACATGATTATAAATGAAATTTGAATCACGTTAATAATTTAACACTAAAGAGCCCAATAAAAGGGTAATTACTTCCTAGCCTAATCTATCATTTATCTGCTTCTCCTTTATAAATGAAGAGTCCTAACACTAGTCTAGCCAAAGCAAAGGGGGAGTGGTGGTCTAGTGGTTAGAGCACTGTGCTTGGGGGCCAGAGGTTCTGAGTCGAACTCCTGCAGAATGCCACTCATGGTCCCTGAGTAAGACCTTAACCAACTTTGATCCCATAATGCTCCCGGGCGCCGAAGGGTCAGATACGGAGGTGAATTTCTACAGTGTGAGATTAATAAAGTTCAGTCATTTTATTTTTAAGGGAGTGTGGCCTGGTGGTTAGGGCATGGCGCTTAGAATCCAGAGTTCTGAGTATAAGCCCCACTCCCACAGTCTGCCACTCCTGGGTCCCTGAGAGAGACCGTAAGCAACTTTAACCATATAATGGCATTTGTTGAGGACACTGCTCCCTAGGGGGATGGGTTAAATCCAGAGAGTTAATTTCATTGCTCTGTACTTGTGAAAGTGTAATGAAAAGAAAAGCTGGGAAAACAAATTAATGATCTGAAGTGAACCTATTCTGCAGGCTAATCACTCAGCAATATGAGCTTCATGAGAAGAGACTGTTTAAATAGCTTCACTATGGGATCCAAAAGATAAAACAGAGAAACCGCTGCGTGGATTAAAGCTTCAAACTGTAATAAACAATTTTTTTTTTTTTTTTACATTATGTCTTATACACTGGCTGGATATGAAGCTGCTATGTTTCCTTTGACTCATTAGAAAGAATTAAGTCCTAGAGGAGGTGTACGAATTCAAAAGACCAATAAAAAAAGTCTATAAGTTAAAGTGTTTTTTTTTTTTGCCATGCTTAAAATCTCATCAGGATATGTAAAGTATTAATTTCACAATGATAAAATTATTAGTGGTATGCATCATAAACAGTCCTAATGACGTCAAGTACACTAGCTAACGCTAAAGGCTATAGCTAACCAATGTTATTGTAAAATGTAATTTCTTGGAAAGGGTGAATTTTTTTTATAAGACGAATGTTATGCTTGTAACATTATGGTGTCGAGGACTGTCGGCCTCATAGCTGTCACTGACATCCTCCAAGACAAAAGCATCAGCACTGAAGCCAACTGTTTGCAGAGAACTGCATCTGAGGAAAGTTAGGTGGAAGGAAAAAGTGTCAGAGAAATATGCAGGGATGACCATAACCTTTAATGACTGTAAAGCTTTAGACACTATTTGAAGAGTTTAAAGGAATAGTACACCCAAAACATGATTAGCCTTCCTTTTCTACTCACCCCCATGCTGAACAACACTCTGGAGTACTTTTTTGATATCTCAAATGCATCTGGAGATCTGGGAGGCTTCTTGCTGTCTGCTGACATTCAAATAATGGAGGTCTATGGTGACCGAGACAGAAAGGTCCAGTAATGATTAAGGTTGTAACGTTATTAGCTGGTGTTAGTCCACTGGGTTCTGTTAAAAAGACAGAGCAGCAGCCAGAACATTTTAGAGCAATTTGTGCTTCTGCTGGCAGGTTTTATGAAACTGCTGTTTGATTTTCCAACAGCCAGTCCAATCACCCATGATGCTACCATGTTTGGCTGGATTAAAATTAAAGATGAGACGCCAGAACCAGCAATACAGATGACAACAGCTGCCAAAGCTACCTGGGTCTGCATCACACCTCAGCAGAGCGCCTCATTGGTTCATGGTGCCGGAGGACTAACGAAGCACACAGTTAATTCCCTGTCCTGACATGGAATACATTCATTTTCTGAGGAACTGAATTTGGGTTTTCATGACTAAAAGAGTGAGAGTGGAGTTTACTTTAATCCAATTTGAGAAGCACCGGCAGGTAATCAGTTTGCAATTCATGAAAATTAGAAATAAAAGCCCCTGTAGGAACAGAACAGGTCTTTCAAAGCACCAAAGGTCAGATCAAGTGTGATTAAACCCAGACAAAGATCCTTTATAAACCCAATATAAGAGCACAGCTTCTTCTGAAGCATCCAGTGGTTTATTTCAGTCTTCAATTACCTCTTTATAGATAAATGAAAGCACAACTGAAACTGTTTTAGTGTTTCACATCTTTAATTGATCATGATAAAAGTAGAAAAAAAAAAAAACGTTTTAGGTTTTAACGAATCACTTCCAGAGTAGCGTACACATATTTACACTGAATAAAACTATCATTTTGAGGACAGAAAAAACAAACAATAAAGTGTCGTAAAACCAGGCCATAAAACGGCTCTTTTTCCCTAAAATAACGAGTTTCCTCCTCAAGAAACGCAGCAGAAACTCCTTACTGATGATTCTGCTCGACTCAAGCTTCATTTTGTCTCTTCACCCAAACTATTCCAGTTAAAACACTACAAGGCTGCAGGGTGGGGCTGCAGCCATCAGACCAGTGGGTAACTGGCCGCCGTTGCGATGCCGCAGTGGTTCTTCCTGTCTTTGGCCATGTAGATGTAGCCTTTGTCGCCCCAGCTTTCACTCCAGCTGTAAGGAGACACAACGGGTCAGAAAACTCTTCACCTGAACCTTATCCAGCTTGTCTGTCAGACTGAACCAGATCTTGAATGTCTTTATCCTCCAAAGGCTCACTGACCTGTTCTTGACGATCCAGTATTTCTTGCCGTCGACATCCTCTCCCTGGAAGCCGTACCCCACCACCAGCACGCCGTGGTCCAGCTCCTCACTGCTGCACTCCTTCTCATAGTAGATCCCTAACGACAAAAGGAATCAGGAACCGAGTCAAGTTGAGCGGGAGACTCGTTATCCACAGAGTTAATGTTCGACAATGTGATGAACTCACCAGACTGGTAGAACTGGAAGGATTCGTGACCGGCATCGATAGCTACGGAGACGGGTCCGACGGAGGCCACGGCTTTCATCAGAGCGCGCTCACTGCCGCTGGGAATGTCGACGAAGCCCGTGTCGTTGGCTGCGTTAAACTTGGGGTCATACTGGCACTGCTGGTCGTCCTGAAATACAGATCAAGGTGAGATGGGTCTGGAGCTGGGACATGCGCATGAACATCCTGGAGCATTCAAATGAGAAACGTACTGTTCCCTTGTATGGGTACGACTCCTCCGAGTCCAGACCCTGGTTGTCCTGGACGTACTGGAAAGCCTGGTCCATCAGACCGCCGTTGCAGCCCTCGTTGCCCTCAGGTCTGGAGCAGTCCACCAGGTTCTGCTCGCTCAGAGACACCAGCTTACCAGTCTTCCTGAACTCCTGAGCCTCCAGAGCGCCTGTGGTGCTGAAAGCCCAGCAGGAGCCGCACTGACCCTGAAGAGGAGAGAAGGAAGATGGAGTCAGGTTGCTTTCAAATGGATCCCACCCAATTACTCCCATAATGAAGGAACTGGTTTGAAACAATGAGCTGCAGTTCCCATAAACGTCCAGGAGGCGACCTCGCAGACTGATGCCATTTTATTAGACTAGTGTTATTTTCCAAAGGCCGTGTTAAAAAGAAGAAAAATGATCATTCTTAGCATGAACAATTTTTCAATTCAAGCAAAAAAAAAAAAATTATATATTTATTTATATATATATATATATATATATATATATATATATATATATAAAAATGTCAGATGTTTTAGCAAACACGGTAAATATAAAGCAAAGGGGTGTGGAGAACATGCTGTACAGCACAAAGATGATAAAAAACAACCCCCACTGGCCGACTTATCTCAGTCTGCAAGCAAAACATGTTCTACTGAGGACAGAGTCTTCATGGTCCTGATTAGCGAGTAAATAAACCCTGAAGCTGCAATGCGTCATGTTTACAAATCAAAACAGCTGCTCTGCAAACTACCAGAGAGTCACTAGCTCTCAGGTTATCACAGTAATACATTTACAGTACCTCTAACACATAACAACGGCTAAGATGACAGACTTGTTTTAGAAGAGCAAGCCTGACAGTAAAAGATGAATTTGGGGTGCATCACCTGGTCTTTGACGGGGGTAACGTAGCCCTTCTCCCTCCAGTCAATTGCACGTGGAGCCTCCAGGAAGTTGGGCTCCATAAACAAGGAGCCCTTCACCTTCCTTTCACCTTTGCGCTTGTAGCCATTCATGATCTGCCTGAACTCCTCGTGAGTCTGTAAGGAAGAGCATTCAGAGTGAAACAATTCTGCCACTTCGAGAGTTTAAACCAGTCTCATTTTGTGTGTTTTTCCTCCCAAAAATGGTCATTTTAACATTTCTACAGACATCTTGTTTCAGAAAATCAAAAAACGTTCTTATCCACAATTTCACGTTAGATTGTTAATCCAATATACTTACATAACAATTACTATTTTAATAAACTAGGTAAAACATTTTTCAAGAATACAAAAAAGAAAATAAAAAAAGACTAGACAATCAGATAAAAGAAAAAAAATATATAAAAACAGTAAGAACCAGGCTAAAAAAAGTTTAAGCATTTAAGACAGAACATAATAGTTATTTCTTAACGACATAAAATCACACATTAGTCTCTGAACTTCACTAAGGTCCATTATGTGACATCAGAGAATAAACGCTCGTAAATGCATCGCCTCACCATGTCACCAAAGTGGTTCATGCCCAGCCGGTAGGTGTGTTTGCCCATAGAGTGCTCCAGGTTGTGCAGCTCGATCTTCTTCAGGTTCTTCTCCCACACCAGCCGCCTCCAGCCTTCCTCTCTCTTTAACAAAACAACAATACAGATTAAGAACAAGCAAATATCAAAGAAAAGAAAAATCAACAACAATTCCTGTTACCTGATGGTAGTTTTTATTGTGCCAGCTCTTCCACAGGTTCCAGTGCTCATCCAGCTGTGGGTCCAGACTGGGGGCCGACAGGCTCACGCCAAGGCACAACGTTAAAACAACTAGAGGCAGCATAGCTGTGGCTTCCTGCAGCAAACAAAAGCATCCAGTAAACAACTCCAGGGATCTGGTTTCAGAGCAGATTCAGACACCCAGTAGCAGTAAGGCATCATCAGTTATGCATGAAACCATTTATAATTGCTTTCTCAAAAACTGCTCAGCATTGTGTAACTTCCAAAGGCAAATTCCTGGCAGTCCAGTCAGGTCTGGAGTCATTTACACAGAAGCTGGGCTATGATTCACAGCTTGCATAAAGGCCTTTTTCCCATGGTAAATACAAGGGGATCTCTCAAAATCGGATTATTCTACATAGCATTTAAAGATGTATGAAATCATTTCATTGTAAATGGTGCCTTTACTGTCCACCATGGAAAAAATAACCACATAGCTCTACTGCAGACAGATCACTCTGTCTATTCAGATCTGTAGTTAAAATTATTCACCACAGGCTGCAATGCCAGCTTATGCGATATCTTGTGTATTTGTTTTAGTATGTTTCATTCTGATGATTTGTTCTTTAACGTTTTGCTCTAGCAGCTGTTTTCAATTCGGCCAAATGGCCTAGTCACTGAAGCTTCGATTCGGAAGCTAACTTCAGAGTCATTCCCAACTCTCTTCATCTAAGAAAATAGACCACAAACTTATGCGATCTTCACTTTCTCACAATAAGAAGGTATAAACTATAATAACGCAAACGATGACTCCTTGTGTGGCTGTGCTCCGGCTTTTATTGTCTCATCCAAACAACAAGCGGATCCTGCTGGTTTTTTTTTTTTTGGCTCAGTCACGGGATCTGCTGCCCGTGGGATCAGAGCCAGGAATAACCGAAACGTCCTCCACACCAGGAAACCGAAACAAAATCAAAACTGAAACCGGCACATAGCGGTCCTAGGCACCTGATCATAGACCGGCAGATGTTCGGTTCTGATTAACAAAAAAAAAAAAAAACAACAAACAAAGCGAGAAGAAAAACAATGGCGACTCTGAAAAGAACGATTTAGGTCGACGTTAAAACTTAGCCGAATGAATAAGAAACAATAAAGCCTCATCTTTTAACGACAATTATTTTTTTTGTCCCGCTTTGAGGATGACAATCCTGGTGATTTTTTAAAATTTGCCAAATTGTCAATGCAAACTGGAACCTCGTTTACGAAAACGAAAAAACTGTCCATTATATTTAAAATACTGATAAAATCAAATAATAACTCGTTGGAAATTACGTCTTCTATATTAAATAGACATTCAATGTTTAGACTTACTTTTAACACCTTCTTGAAGAAGAACAAGAAAACAATTCCTCTGTTAGCCGAGCTACACTTTATGAAGGCCAAGCCGGGAGCTTGGGATCATCCCACAAAGCTCTCTGATTGGCTAAAAAACTTGTTTGTGCTTAATGCTAATTGGTTGATTCCACGTTTTCCCCACTGGAAGCCCGCCTCTGTTATTACGCCATCTTGCAAGCACGTGATTCCCTCCCCCTGGATTAACGTTGAAAAAAAGGGTTGCAGCAGTTTTAATATGATTATTACATGTAAAAGTATTTAAAGACTCACTTATGATCAATTTATCTTTTAGTTGGGATTATTCAAATTCAGGCTTTAAAACCCCAGACTCAAACTAAAAAAGAAAAGGATAAAAAGAGGAGACCTGTGTTGAGAAATTCAGGTGAAACATAACTCCAGCATCAGCAGCATCTCTACTTGTTTATTCCATTTTTGGGACCAGTTCAAAGCACAACACATGTTTATAATCTATAAAAGTAAAGCTAAATATGGGCAACTTGAAGTAAAAATCCCATCACTCAATTATGCTGTAATAGCAATAGAAATTGTTATAAAAAGTAATAAAAACTCCATAACATATTAACTTAGGCTATTGTATGGCTGTGATTTTATTCTACTGTCGTCAAAGCCCCCAAATCAAACATATCACTTTGTTATCACCTTTTCAAACAACATTTTGAAGTAGGCTTCTTCAGAACACCTGTTGTACATTGAACACCTGAATCTTATTTATAAACTGCACACAGTTATTGCATTATGTATTTTTTTTATTTTTATTAACTGAAATACATTGATGCTCTGATGCCACCGGTATTGAAGAACAAAGTCAAAATGTCAATTACGATCTGCGTTTGTGGTTAATAGGTCAGACTGTCATAATTCAAAATCCACAATGAGAATTGTTATAAATATACTGAATACAATAAATGTTCATTCCTAATTCACACATGTTCAGAAGGAGGAACACTGTCACATTTGGATGACTTTATACATCTTGATACAGCAGGCTTTGCTTACACTAATTAACATTGTCATTCTATTTGTTCTTTGAATCACTCTCAGTACAATAACATGGTGGTGGGAGCACTATAATGCAGGGATGCTCTTCTTCAACAAGGGAAAGGATTAATGGGAAGTTAAATACAAGGGTATTGAAAGGTCTGCAATGCATTTCATGAGTATGAAACAAATGAGACAAATGAAATCATTTTATTCCTGCACTTCTAAAGTTTTTAATAGGTTGTTGTTAGACAAATCTGTATATGTCAGCATATTACATTATTCTGTTACATCAAGCTGTAAAATCTTGCAAAACACACTGAAAATAGACTCCTTTTTAAATGCAGAACATCCATATCTGTTGCCTATCTGACCCTTGTTTAAACTGTAAGGCTTCTCAGTTTCAGATACTTTATCTTAGAGGTCTACTATTCCAGCAAAGATAACAAGGAGTAAATCTCCTGAACATGCAAATGCTGTGAGGCTGCAGTCATCCAGTCCATCAGAACATTGATAAATCAATAGAAATCGTCACAATTGTTTAACATTTTCTCCCTTTCCAAACAGAAGACAGCACCAAAGGACTTATGATGCATTCCTTCACTACAGAGCTTCTGAGAACTGCTGGCAGATCAGAGGCAGAGTCAATCAATGCTGATGCTCATGTGACTGATGTTATTGAGAAACACTAACTGACACACTGACAGTCAGGACTGAACCTGTTTTTGTTGTTTTGTTCCTTTCTGCTGAAAACCAGACATATGTTCAGCGACTACGCTTACATACATTCGACACATCAGCAGGTTTTCCTCTTACGCAAAAAGGATCTGCTTGATCACGCTCAAGTTATGCAGAGAAAATAAGAGCTTATGTCCTCGTATGGTTGACCACATCTTCCTGATCGATTCCCATCAGTTCACCAGCGAGGTTTTCAAAATGATTTACATCTGTGAGTTCATCCTGGGAATAAGTTGACCAGTTCTCAGTTTTCTGCTGGAGCGCATCAGATCTTTATTGAATGTATTTCCTAGTATTTAAAAAGCTCATGATGTCATCTACTCTGATGAGGTTCACAGGGTCTTTGGAATGAATCTAGACCTACTGTTCTTCCTTATGAACCAAGGGGTGTGGGAAGCTTTTCCACATGTTCATCCTTTATCACATCAAGCTCAACTTGAGTGTTTGTTGCTCTAATGATCAATATTTAAGCAAAGCACTCAGTTTCATGTGAAAAACCTGTCATTTTAACCAAATGCAGCATGTTTACATTTGTAATGGTAGGAGAGGGAAATTGCCTTCTGCAAAGCACATCACATGAAACTGTAGATAGAAATTAGACTCATTGACTCCAAATATGCTGCTAATTGCTACAGGTCACTAAGAATGAGCTTTAAACTTTTATTTTAAAATTTTTTACCTGCAGTTATTGTGTAAGTAATTACTATGCAATCATTTCTAATATTTTTATGTAATAATATTTAATTTGTTTTTAGATTTTGAAGTGTGAGATTAGTCATCAGTGACCAGCTTGTTAATTTAAAGGTTTTTACCTATTTTCTAACTAGCACTAACAAGAGTGCCGACAATAATTTGGGATATATTTCAGTAAAATCAATTTCTGAAGCAAAAGAATCAAACTGTGATGATAAAATTCTATATGATTAAAAACATGAATATAAATTACCCAAAGTCACGAGGCACTGTCTCATGATACTACAGCAAGTATGCAGAAACCCAGCCTAAAATTCAGCAGCACTTGGTTTAATGACTCAAATGGTGACTCAATCATTCCACTCCTACATTTCATGACTTCTTGGAGAAAGCAGTCATGGGCAGGTCCAAAAGTCACCTAAATTCAATCCTAAACTGAACAAGGAGCTGATAAACCCTAGAAAGTATAGAGGACAGATATGATAATTTTTTAATTTATTATTCCATGCTCTGAAGCTACAGCCTTGACAGAGAGATCTGACACCAAGGCAGAGGGCAGCTTTTAACACCATAATCTGATCAAATTACCCAACAAAGAGCAATTCATATAATCTGATTGGGAAATTTGAATGTTGTCTCATGTGTGCTGGATGCATAATGTTCTCCAACCTTCTGTGACAGGTTGTGCTCCTAAAATAAATGATTTCCTGGCATTTTCTCTGCTGAGAACAGCAGATATGTAATCAACTGACTTAATCAAGTAGACACGCTCTGCAGACATGTGTGAGCGTCTTCTGTCTGCCCCCTGTTCCCTCCTCACAGTTATTTGTGTTATTTTTGTCAGTCACAGTCAAAACTTTGTGTAAAAGTATTTTCTCTGTCTCTCTGTCTGTGTGTATATATATCTATCTATCTATCTATCTATCTATCTATCTACACTATATTGCCAAAAGTATTTGCTCACCTGCCTTGACTCACATATGAGCTTAAGTGACATCCCGTTCCTAATCCATAGGGTTCAATATGACGTCGGTCCACCCTTTGCAGCTAGAACAGCTTCAACTCTTCTGGGAAGGCTGTCCACAAGGTTTAGGAGTGTGTTTATGGGAATTTTTGACCATTCTTCCAGAAGCGCATTTGTGAGGTCGCACACTGATGTTGGACGAGAAGGCCTGGCTCTCAGTCTCCGCTCTAATTCATCCCAAAGGTGTTCTATCGGGTTGAGGTCAGGACTCTGTGCAGGCCAGTCAAGTTCATCCACACCAGACTCTGTCATCCATGTCTTTATGGACCTTGCTTTGTGCACTGGTGCACAGTCATGTTGGAAGAGGAAGGGGCCAGCTCCAAACTGTTCCCACAAAGTTGGGAGCATGGAATTGTCCAAAATGTCTTGGTATGCTGAAGCATTCAGAGTTCCTTTCACTGGAACTAAGGGGCCAAGCCCAGCTCCTGAAAAACAACCTCACACCATAATCCCCCCTCCACCAAACTTTACACTTGGCACAATGCAGTCAGACAAGTACCGTTCTCCTGGCAACCGCCAAACCCCAGACCCGTCCATCAGATTGCCAGATGGAGAAGCGCGATTCGTCACTCCAGAGAACGCGTCTCCACTGCTCTAGAGTCCAGTGGCGGCGTGCTTTACACCACCGCATCCGACGCTTTGCATTGCACTTGGTGATGTATGGCTTGGATGCAGCTGCTCGACCATGGAAACCCATTCCATGAAGCTCTCTGCGCACTGTTCTTGAGCTAATCTGAAGGCCACATGAAGTTTGGAGGTCTGTAGTGATTGACTCTGCAGAAAGTTGGCGACCTCTTCGCACTATGCGCGTCAGCATCCGCTGACCCCGCTCCGTCAGTTTACGTGGCCTACCTCTTCGTGGCTGAGTTGCTGTCGTTCCCAAACACTTCCATTTTCTTATAATACAGCTGACAGTTGACTGTGGAATATTTAGGAGCGAGGAAATTTCACGACTGGATTTGTTGCACAGGTGGCATCCTATCACAGTTCCACGCTGGAATTCACTGAGCTCCTGAGAGCGACCCATTCTTTCACAAATGTTTGTAAAAACAGTCTGCATGCCTAGGTGCTTGAATTTATACACCTGTGGCCATGGAAGTGATTGGAACACCTGATTCCAATAATTTGGATGGGTGAGCAAATACTTTTGGCAATATAGTGTATCTATCTATATCTATATCTATATCTATATCTATATATATATATATATATATATATATATATATATATATATATATATATAACACAATAAAAGAAATCCCAATTAATAATTTACATGCATCTAATAATATAATATATCTGATAATAATGTTTTAAGTACCAGGAAATAAAAAAGGGGAATAAAAACTATAAAAATAATTTTCTACAAATGATTGGATTTATCATCGGATGTAGATAAGAAACAATAAGAATACTTTAAACTTTATTATACATAAATATATATATATATTTATTTTTTTTTATTTTTTTTTTTGAAAGCCAAATTTATTGGCAGAGGTAAGAGTGAGTTGGGCAGAATTTGCTCTCATGTTTCACAACTTTCACAGAAAATGAGAAAATATTTCTGGAAAATTAGGGGTTGGGTTTATTTCACAGTAGTTGCAGCAAATATAAATGATGTAAAAAGTTTACTCTTTCAAAAAAAGATCAATGAAAAGTGGAATTTGTTAAAGATTTAATTATATGCATTGCTAACATGTTCATATTGGACCCATAGGGATTAAAACAAGATGGAAAATCCGTCTCAAGGGAACTCTCCACATATAAATGAAATGATGTCTCCTTATGTTCCTCTGGTGGAGGTAATAATTTGGCAGAAAAAAATGGGACCCATTTTAGTTGTAGAATTTAGACTTTTTTTAAATACCCAAACACAATCAAGTAAAGACCTACAGAGGCCAGTCAACTATGTTTGGTAATATTGGTTGTTTTTGTTAAGCCCAAATTGAGCCATTCTTCTTATCCTGTAGGCTGGGAATTTGGTCAACTTCCCTTGGCAAAATCTGTGAGCTCAACTCACAGCTTCCTGTTGGGATGAACCTGCACTCATAGGATTTGAATAACTCAGGTTATATTATTTGGCCAAAGTCTTCACATTACAAATCCAGATGTGATTCTTGGTTCTTTAGCACGGTTTTGTCAGACCTCTGCTAGGAATCTTGGTTTTGCTTTTGAAAGCTGTTTAAAGCTAGATAAACAAGTTAACTCTGTCGTTCAATCAAGTTTTTATCACCTGCCGATTTGAGCAAAAGTTAAATCGTATTTTTGTTTAAGGACTTTAAAGGACTTATCCATGACTTCATTACACCTCATTTGATTACAGTTATTCATTATATAGAGGCATGGGTAAACCAGGTAGCATGACCATATAAGGCCTATACTGGCCTCTACACAGGCTACCTATCCTTTATCAAATAGATTTGAAGATTGTTTTAATAACATAAAGTTTTTAATGGGCTATCTCCCCCTTATCTTCAGGAGATTTTAAAATTCCAGTCTATGTCCAGAACCCTACGATCAAATAACCAGCTATTATTGACAGTTCCTTGCAGTCGACTTAAGAACAAAGGAGATCAGGTCTTTTCTTTTGTTGCTCCCATTGTATGAAACTATTTACGTTTCCTAATTAGATCTTCCCACAGCCTGAATCATTTTAAATCACTTATGTAAAACTCATTTTTATTCCTGGGCATTTATTTGGTGTAGTGTTTTGATACTGTTTTTATCAACTTGTTTTCTTGCCGATCTTGTACAGCACTTTGGTGCACTTTTACACCAGTTTTTAAAGTGCTATATAAATAAATTTGACATGGACATTGGTTCGTATAAAAATAATACTGAAAGGATTAGGGCAGCTTTTTAAAAGAATCATGTCAGTTAAAACTGGAACTCCTTAAAGTTGGATTCTGATTTTCCAACCATCCAGTTTGTTCCACTATTTACCTTTAGAAAACCTTTAATTCTGCCTCATACGGAACAGCTGGTGGTCAATATGTGGATGAAAACCTCATGAAAAATAAATAAATAAATGCATAGGTTTGCAATGCAAGGTTTTTTATAATTTTACTAAACTTGTTAAAAATAAAAATAAAGTGAATTGGAACATGCAAAAAAATGTGCTGAGATAAACACCCAGAACAATTTAGATAACTTGCCTTCAACTTTAAAATAAAGGAAGAGAAAGAGACTCTTTAAGTAGCAGAGCTGGATTGCACTCTTTGCATGCAATGCAATCTTAATTCTTCCACACCCAGCTCTGCTCTAGACCTACAAGGCCCCGCCCCCTTTACATTATTGATAGGAAAAGAAAAAAAAATAGCTGCAATATAATTTTATCACAATAATACAGATCTTCTATTAGTCTGCTGCACTAAACATGTATTAAAGGGGAACATTTGACATGAAAAGGTTGAGAAACGTGGCATAACAGATTCAGCAGATCTCCTTACCCTGAGGACAGAGTTGTGTGTTTGTTCCTCTAAAGGTGTTTTTTTTTTTTTTTTTTTTTATAGAGAACTTCCTTATAGGTTTATGGCCGAGAATGAAACCCAGCCTTTTAGTCCATTGGATAAGTCACTTCCCTATCAGCTTGAGGTTCAGCAGTAGTACAAACACAGTCACAAGCTTAACTGTTATAATAATAATAATAATACATTTGATTTATACTGCACTTTTCTACTTTTTACCTCAAAGTATTACAACAAAGAAAAGCATTAAAAAAGAAATACATAAAAATAATAATGACAAAAAAAGAGAGAGAGAGAGAGAGAGAGAGAAATATTTAAAGGGTACCATAAGTTTTGCTAAAAAGAAATGTTTTGACTCTTGACTTAAGGAACCCTGAGAACTAGAACACATGCTTATTTTAATGGCCTCCCTACATAACACATAAACAAGTCCTATAGGTGTTGTTCCGAGGAAACCTCGTGACACGTTTGAACAAAACCTGAAGCCTTTCTGTGATCTTAAAGCAAACAGAGCAGGATGACACAGCAGACAAAACAAGACAAACCACATACATAATTGCCTGTTGCATTGTATAATAATTGGAAAGTCAAGCAGCCATTTACCCCCAAATCAGCTGCTTTTTTCCACTAGCTATCTGTGCTCTGTTCAATCCCCCATCGATTGTCTAACTGGCTCAGAGTTGATAATTTTTTTCTCTTAAATGAAGCAACTAAACAAGCTCAACATTTTCTCCAACGTAGAACATATTCCTAGATCAGTGCTTCTGTTTTTTTCTTGTTTTTGTTTGCGTCAGTCGGGACCGATGGCTGCTCACAATGAGCCCGGTTTTAATAAAGTTTTCCTTTCCACTTTTACCATATGCTTGCTCAGCACAAGGGATTGCTTTTACCTGAAAACCATTATAACAAACTGACCACACTGCTTTCTAACCCTGATCCAAACTGGAACAGACTCTTGGTTTATCAACATAATATGAATGATCTGATTATTTCTTTAAATATATTAGTTCTGCTCGCACTCTAAAGTGCCCTGAAATGACGCACTATGAATTCTTGTCATATAAACTAATAAGAGAAAAATATCCATCAGAAACAAATAAAGAGTTGATAATTATATAGATAAGGAACCAAGTGAATTCAATTTCTTGGTACTGGTGGTAACATTTTAAAAGCAAAGACCAGCATCCTGGATTTTATCACATCAAGCCAAGCGGCTGTTTGGCAGTAATGAAAAAGAAAACGGTTTCTACAGCAGTTCACTCCACTGGCACATTAACATGAGCCGTGGGGGTTGGTCATAGAAGGTCGAGACTGAACTATTCAGACACAAATACTGGAGATGGACATGACAAAAAAATGATATATATGGAAAATCACCTCAACCCAATTGTATAATGGAGGACCTGTAATGCTGTGGGCCCGTTTCTCTAAATCAGACAGGCCATGCCATCTTTTTGATTCAAAGTATGACCCTAATTAAATATAGAAATGGTTTTACAAACATGAAAATAAACCTCCAGGGCAATCTAGGTCTGCAGGATTACACCCTGAAGAAAAGCCCCATATGCAAAGCCAAGGAGAAGTGATATTAAGAGAAAAACGACGACTTTGGATGATAAGAAATTAAAAGTATGTTGCTTTTCATATTATGGGGAGCTACATTGAAAACCACTTGAGACAAGAAAAGGTAATAAAGAATTTATTATAAAATGTATTACACCATAAAGCGTCAGAAGTAATAAGAACATGGCATTCTCAGACATGCTATAAGAACAGAACATAAATAGGGACAAAAAGACAATGTGCAATGTGGCGATCAGACCAAAATCTCCATCAAACAGAAACCATCTTCAGCTGTCCGTCAAATCCAAACCCTTCGGTTAAATCTCAGTTCTTAAAAACATGGGGTGCTGCGTTTTCTCTGAAACAAGACGAAAAAGGCAAACATTTTTCTCCCCTTCCCCCCCGAAAAACATCCCTTCCCTATGATCTATACAAGGCAACGACACAAGGTTAAAGCAGTGCGTTTCAGGCACACAGCGTTGGCAATGACAGCACAAGAAAACCCTGGACACCAAAACAGCTTGGGTGGTTTTATTCCACCATGATTTATACACATGGAGTCTTTTTTAGATATTCCCTCCTCAACATTCATTTTGCCTCTCTATGTTTGAGCCATAAATAGGAGAGGTCTGCTGCGTTTACTGGCAAGTTGGAGCTGATAGAAACCAACCTTAAAAGGTTGAGTTGGTGAACACTGGAGGAAGTGAGAAACAGGAAATACTGAAGCTCTTATTGAACAACTCCTAGAAAACAAAATTCTATAAACCTCTTGGGATTAAAATACTCAGAATAGACGCTCTGAAAGACACGATATTTCCTGTTTTATTAGAATAGCATGAACTTCACGAAAACCTGCTCACATAAAGAGACATTCCTGCCTTCAGTAAACGTTTCCCACCGACTTTCATTCCATCACTTTGGCTTTTTTATGAACATGGTGTAAAAAGGCAAAGTGAAAGAAAATGTGAAGCGACGCGTGGCTGGCTATAAACCCGCAGCGATGCAAACAGAAGCTCAAATTCAGTTTGATAGAAGGTGGCGTCAACGCCACTGTGCAAAAAGGAAAACACCTGACACTGCGGACGGTAAGCTTAAGCATCAGAGCCGACTGTGACAAGCTGCCCAGTTACTTAACAGCAAAGAAGGAAACATTTTCTAAACTACAAACAAAGAAACAAATCGAGCTTATCTTGTATTTTTTTTTTACTTTTTTACGGCACTTCCTATTAAAATTCATTAGGATGAATAAGAAGCTTGACTCCACCCTGTCTGCCATGATGATTTTTGATGTTTGTAGCATTTGACAAGAACAATTTAGTCAATTTCAATCAACAGCACTCCATAAGACCCTATAATTATGTGGGGAAAAGTTCCAAATGTTGTTCTTTTGTTGGAGAAAATGGCCATAGTTCCTTTTGTCAAAATGAACAACATTTTTAGGAATAGCTTTATTTATTTTTACAGGTCCCAGAACTTCCTTATAGATTGTAAAGACCAGCCCACCACCCAGCTCTAATTTGGTCCCAGTTCATGCTGTAAACAATAGACCCCTGGGGTTGAGTTTGCTGACACCTAGAGGAGGAAATCAAAACTGCGACCAAGAAACTGCAACCCATCCTCACCTGCATAACAGCAAAACATAGAGAACATCAGAATATTTGGTTTATTCTTCCCACGAAGGTTTTAGTGACATATTAGCTGAAAACATGAGGAAAATTATCTGTTGGTTCAGATTTAAAATATCTTTAACTGAAGATATTCATATTTCTAATCCTCGGTAAAAAAATGTTTTACCTCATACTATTGTTCTGTTCAAATACTGAATTTAGCAACAAAAGATAATAAAACACAACCAGACTGTAACATAATGACCAAATATCAGTTGTTAAAGCAGCTTAAAAATAATCAGTGACAGTAACAGTAGAGGATGGTGCCAAAAATGAAGAAAAATACAATTATTGTTCATTATTTCAACTGTGAGGGTAAAGTTAAAGAAACTTTTTGTTCAGGGATTTTGTGATTAAAGTACAAAGGCAAGAAAATTATGGGACCTGTAAAAAGGCATCACCCAAAATCGATATTAGAGATGTCCCGATCCAAGCATGTCTTAGTGATCTATGTCCGAATTAAACTCTGCTTCCAGAACCTACTGACTGTTAACCATCAGTGGTTCTACATGAAACATGGCCTCAATGAGATGAGCTGCTTCAGTTTATGAGCAAAGCTTGCAAAACGGCATGGTGGATATAGATTTCATGAATCTGTGATGGGGTTTTTTAACCGCCATAACATTAATAGTTAAAGAGACGATTGGCTGATGTAACTCGCTGCCCGCTATTCTCAGATTTCCCCCCGTTTATCCTGAAAGCAGCTGAAAAAGCAGTTATTACATCGTATGAGGATCAACCAGCAACAGTAAAATATAGATAAAAACAAATATATGAGTCCTATCAAAACAGAGTAAACATGTTAGCGTTAGCCTAGCATTTTAGCCAACTGCTATGGATTAACCATTTTTAGCAGCAGTGAGATGTGAACTTGTTAAAAGCAGCAGAAAATGTTTCCAATAATATAACATAATATATCAGCTATCTGGGCAGCAGATTATGAGCTGGTTTGGACTGGATTTTCATGGCGCCAGATGAAAACGGCTAACATACGTGGAAGATCAGCGCGAGGAAGTAAAATACTAAAGTGGAACATTAAATACTGATGCAAAATGAGTCCTTTTACTGCATGTACAAGAATTTCCTTTCATAAGGTATTGGTCTGAGACAAGTTTATTCTTGAATACATTTAATCTGCATTGGTGACGTCCGATAAACCTTACACCAGGGCTGAATCCTTAATCTGAATCATTTTGGTTGGTCCGACCCCTCCCCCCCGATAAGATCTAAACTTCAAGGCCTTTTATCATAAGCAGAGTTTCATGTTTTTAAACTAAACATGCAACCTTTAAATGTTGAACTTTTTTGAATTCTTTTCTGGTATTTAGTTTGAACAAGGCACAGTTCTTCAGATGTTTAAAAAGAACCACAGTCGCAACAATAAGACCGTTTGTGCTTTTAGGGAGGTAGAAGGCCCCGAAGGCACTCTTAAAAATGCTCTTAATTTATTAATTAGACACCAAGATAAACAAACAAACAAAAAAAAGTAAAAGGAGGGAAAACCTTAAATGTAAAAGAGATGGCAGCCTCCTACTAAAAACACTGACACACACAGATCTAGTTCTAAACTTTGGGGGTGGATATGAAAGAGGTCCAAAAACATCCTGCTGCCAACTTTTTAGAAACTCCAGCACTTCTTCATGTGGAGATTTCAAGGTTTAGTTTTTCCTATTTTAACTTTGTGTGCAGCAGAGTAGGAGGAATAGTATTAAGCAGCGCTGCAAGATTAAAAGCACAGGATTCCTCTTTGGGGATTCGAAGACATTAATAGAGAAAGGTCTGCTGTACAGATGTGGAGATCACAAATGTAACATCTGGATCTAACAACTAGTAAAGAGCGAGCAGCTGGACTAATGATTGCACTTTTATACTCAGGCCTGAGTCTGTGCCGTTCAAGCAGAGGTTGGGCGCTTCAGACTGACGTTTGGTGAGGAAGCTGCGCAAATCGTCAGCGGGATATGACAGAGCTGATTGAGTTGTATGATGTGCCACCGTTGCAGGTAGGGGGATATCCATTAGGGGCCCCATTCAGAGCCTCCATATTGACCTTAAACACAGGAGAGGCTTTCAGCAGGAAGTCGGCTGCATCTCTGCGTCCTAGCTCCCTTAGTTTAGTCATCAGCACGCCCACCGTGCTGCTGGTTCTGCTGCTCCACTCTCGCAGCAGCGCTGCGGTTGGGCTGGGCTGCAGCTCAGCCCGCTGGGAGTCTGAGTCCGGCGTGCCGTTTGGAGTCCCGTTGCTGTGTTTGGCCACCAAATCAGTGAGTCCGAGGTTCATGGCCAGCAGGCACCAGTCCTTCCCCAATGCATCGGGGGGATCCAGCATGCGGCACAGCTTCCTGCGAGCCAGCAAGGGCACGTCGGAGATGTGGATGTCCATCCCCAGAGTCCCCAGCTGGTAAACCTCAGCGCAGCCAAACACCAGGATGCTGCTAAAGCTCTCCCTGTAGCCGCCCATGGTGTTGGTGAGTGAAGTTTCCCTCTGGATCTGAGCGCGGCAGAAATCTTTGGGTTGGTAGACCATGATGGGGGCATGGTGCTCCCGCAGCTGCTGAGGGCTCAGGTAGTATTTGGCTGTGAGCAGTCCAGGCAGCGTGGAGGCCAGAAGGTTCTCTGTTATACTACAGATGGTGTCCAGCAGGGTGTAGCACTTGGCCCGCTCTGTGTCAGGTCCGCGCACCTGGATCTCCACGCCCTGCCCGTGGTTGACCAGCAGTATCATGGCCTCCACCCCTGCTTGGCTCACTTTGGCTCCGTTGGTCCAAAGGTGGATGTCTCCGTCCAACTCCTCCCCACCTTCTTCCTCAGGTTTCTGCTGGTGGCTCCAGCGACACAGGTTCACCTGCAGCTTGTGAAACAACCCACAGGGGAACGGAGTGAGGTGCTCGGCGGGGACGAGCCTAACCCCGCCGTAGATCAGCGAATCCTCATCCTCCTCCTCGGTCCAGGAGCGGTGGAGGCCGTTCGTCTTGATCAGGGCGGGAACATCCACCATGGACGGGTTGGTGACGTCACGGGCGCACACGTCCATGGCGTCCAGGATCTGCAGCAGCTCCTCCACATCGCTTTCAGGGGCCAGAGCCTGCACCTCCTCCAACCTGTAGCGCCCCCTGTAGTGATGGATGGCCTTCGGGGTTTCCACAGAGAGCAGTTTACCGAGGATGTTTGTGCACAGCCAGCGAGGCTCGAGGATGACGACGTCCTGCACCGTCTCACTCTGCATGATGTTGATCTGGATGTTTGTGGAAAAGACACAAATCAGAGAAGTTGGATAAGTTGGAGCTAAAGCAGCTTAGAGTGCATTTACACTGATAGAAGACTTACATCTAAAAGGCTAAAAAAGAGATTATACTTCAAATAATAACCACAGAGGGTTCCTTTTTAATTCATTTTTTTTATTTTGACCACAGAGGCTTTAAAGTTACTCTTGCAGTGTGCTATATGTACATAAACCCAGCCTAACATTTGGAAAACATACCTTAGCAAATGTAAAGCAACATACTGTGTTCATTATCAAAAAGCTTCCATCATTAATCTGGATCTATATAAGATAATTCTGCTAACCTGAAATGAGGCCTTTTCCAGAGGCTACATTCTCTTTAATACATCCAATACTGAGGATGTATAACTGTGATGAAGGTCCATAAAACCCAAATGAGTCCAAGTTTCAACCTTATGACTCAATCACAACAGATGGAAGAAAAAGAAAAAAAAACAAAAGAAAAAAAATCAGGATTTGTAAAAGCAACAAGGCTCTGAGACCAGTTTGATACAAAGACAGATCCAGGAACATCTGCTCAATAACTCTTGAAACCAGAAAACGTCTTTTTTTATGTTTTATGGTCTGTGGAGGTAAATACTCACCTCTTTCCATCCATTTTTTGTGATAAAAAAAAAAATAAATAAATATATATATATATATATATATATATATATATATATATATATATGACAATGTGAATTAGGCATGTATATTAGATCGAATTAACCAGTTGATGCTAAATATAATGTTGTCCGACGCTTAAGTTAAAAACAAAAGGAAGTAGAGGTGGCAGAAAAATAAAAAAGGAAGTAGAGGTGGCAGATTAGAGCAGACTACAGAGATCAGGACCAAGGTTTTAATGAATGTGTTTGATTTAGGCAAACTGTCCTAACTTTATCATATCGGCTAATATTAGCGGTAGGTTCATGACACCGGAAATGTCAAGAGAGAAGTGTGTTTCTAACTCTTCTATTTATGAGGCAGGCGAAAATGGTTTCCATCGTTCTTTAATAAATTAAATTATTTTTGAAATGAATTGTGGGGCAACAATCAAGCGCTTCTATTGTGATACTCCGAAATGCGCCCACCAAAATGATTATGGAAGCATCCGATTCCAGCGGAACACATTTGGAGAGGTCAAGATGAGGGTTTCCAATACCAGCACTCCGCCAGCTCTTAAGCACGGTAGTGGCAACATCATGGTTTGGGGATGTTTCTTTGCCATCAAGGCAAAAGAAAAATCAAGACTTCTATACTGCAACTATAGTCTGCAACTATACATAAATTTTTGGATTTCAAAATGGAGTTTTTTTTGTTTTTTTAAATAAACACCAGGGAAGACAAAAGATTGCTGATGCTGATAATGAGTGAATGTACAAGCCCTTCTCAAAATATTAGTATATTGTGATAAAGTTCATTATTTTCCATAATGTGATGATAAAACTTGAACATTCATGTATTTTAGATTCATTGCACACTAACTGAAATATTTCAGGTCTTTTATTGTCTCAATACAGATGATTTTGGCATACAGCTCACGAAAACCCCAAATTCCTATCTCACAAAATAAGCATATCATGAAAAAGGTCTCTAAACGAGCTATGCACCTAATCATCTGAATCAACAAGTTAACTCTAAACACCTGACAAAGATTCCTGAGTGCTTTAAAACTCCCAGCCTGGTTCATCACTCAAACCCCAATCATGGGTAAGACTGCAGACCTGACGGCTGTCCAGAAGGCCATCATTGACACCCTCAAGCAAGAGGCTATGGCACAGAAAGATATTTCTGAACGAATAGGCAGTTCTCAGAGTGCTGTATCAAGGCACCTCAGTGTGGGAAGGAAAAAGTGTGGCAGAAAACGCTGCACAACAAGAAGAGGTGACCGCACCCTGAGGAAGATTGTGGAGAAGGGCCGATTCCAGACCTTTGGAGACCTGCGGAAGCAGTGGACTGAGTCCGGAGTAGAGACTTCCAGAGCCACCGTGCACAGGCGTGTGCAGGAAATGGGCTACCGGTGCTTCATTCCCCAGGTCAAGCCACTTTTAGACCAGAAACGGCGGCAGAGGTGCCTGTCCTGGACTGTTGCTCAGTTTTGCATTTCAATTGGAAATCAAGGTGCCAGAGTCTGGAGGAAGACTGGGGAGAAGGAAACGCCAAAATGCCAGAAGTCCAGTGTCAAGTACCCACAGTCAGTGATGGTCTGGGGTACCATGTCAGCTGCTGGTGTTGGTCCACAGTGTTTTATCAAGGGCAGGGTCAATGCAGCTATCAGGAGATTTTGGAGCACTTCATGCTACTATATCTGCTGAAAAGCTTTATGGAGATGAAGATTTTATTTTTCAGCACGACCTGGCAGCAGCTCACACAGTGCCAAAACCACCGGTAAATGGTGTACTGACCATGGCATCACTGAGCTCAATTGGCCTGCCAACTCTGCTGACCTGAACCCCATAGAGAATCTGTGTGTTATTGTGAAGAGAAAGTTGAGAGACGCAAGACCCCACACTCTGGATGAGCTAAAGGCCGCTATCGAAGCATCCTTGGCCTCCATAACACCTCAGCAGTGCCACAGGCTGATTGCCTCCATGCCACGCCGCACTGAAGCAGTCATTTCTGCAAAAGGATTCACAACCAAGTATTGAGTGCATAACTGTACAGAATCATTTGAAGGTTGACTTTTTTTGTATTAAGAAAACTTTAATTTATCGGTCGGATGAAATATGCTAATTTTGTGAGATAGGAATTTTGGGTTTTCATGAGCTGTATGCCAAAATCATCCGTATTAAGACGATAAAACACCTGAAATATTTCAGTTAGTGTGCAATGAATCTCAAATATATGAATGTTCAAGTTTTATCATTACATTATGGAAAGTAATTAACTTTATCATAATATTCTAATATTTTGAGAAGGACCTGTAAATCTGCCTCTGTGAATGTCATGCTGACAGAGCTGCAGATCAAACTTTCTTTTTCTTTTTCTGTCTTGAGACATTCTGGTGAACACAAAGTCACTACATGTTCTCTGAGCAGAGATTGGGTATTATGTTTACCAATAAAAGGTGCTTAAATTTTTTTTTCTGAATCAGCAGTGCACCCTGGTGGACAATAACTGAAAACCGAGAATTCATAAGAAGAAAAAACAAATGTAGGTTCTGATTCCTGAAGCCTCACCTCCCCCATGCTGTGCAGCTGCATGGCCAGTGTTCGCAGGTGATCCTGGCTGACCAGCGGGTTGAGCTGCTCCTGGACGTCGTTGACAAACTGCTGCCACGATGTGAGCTGGTTGGGTCCGCTCAGCTTCCTCCAGGACGGCAGGGCGGCCAGCAGGCGCTCCGACAGCTGCGTCATTGGACTGCAACTCTGCAACAACGCACAACCGGAAGGTGAGAGCAGTAAAGAGATGAAGACAGAAAACTGAGAGGAGGTGGTTTAATATTCACACAAAGTGAGGATGTCTCTGAGGATGTTTGCAGAACTCACAGAGATGATGTTGGTCCGAAGCTCCTGCAGGTGGCTCCTCAGCAGCTTCAAGTCTTTGGAGTTCGATGCTCCGGCGTCCATCACAAACAGTTTGTCACTGATCTGCAGATCATTACCAAAGCTAAAAAAAAAAATAAAAAAAAAAAAACACAGAAAAAAGCTAAGAAAAGATCAAGGATTGTGATGTGCTTTTTATTCTCAAATCTTATCTCTATACAGGAGCTTTACAGGAGTTTTTTGCTTAAGTTTGATTCCCTACCGGTTTCTGACTTCCTTGAGCAGCGCTTTCTCTTTATCGTAACTGAACTCGCCAGAGAACGCTCTGGTGATGTCAGCCAAGTCGGCATGCGTCGCCACCAGGACGACCGAAAGGGGCTGCTGGATCCGACCTCCAAACACTGCTCAGACACAAAAACCAAATTCAGAACAATGATTTAATTTAGCTTTTTGGGGTGCTTATTTTTATATTTTTTAGAACACAGAGTAAACACCACTGTCATAATTAAATTTTTTTTTTAAGGTTTAATGATGTATTGTCCTGGTAAATCATTAGAAGTGTCTTTTCCATGTTTAACGTTACATAAATAAATCACAGTTCATATAAAAACCCAAAAATGAGGGAGAAACTTAAAAACTTTTTGAGACTGATCTGATTGAGACGACCTCTCCTGTCCTCATCCTCTCACATCCCTCCTCATCTTCAGCTCATCTAAGCTGATTAATGCTTGGAAGTGGTCATGATTTCATGCACTTTGCAAAGTAAGCCCAAAGCATAATGCTGCCACAGCCCTGCTTCACTGGCACCATGGTGGTTTTTGGTGCAGATCAGAAATATCCGCTGGCTCCTTTGAGATTTGGGTCACTAAGAAGGAAAGTTAGTTCCTTCAGACAATCTACAAAGGAATTTAGCAGCCTCTATGTTGCACTTTTACCAACTGGCAGTTTTGTAAAATCATTTTGCTCATGTTTTCTCCAATAATTCCCCAACAATTTCTATGTACAGGTGCTGGTCATAAAATTAGAATATCATGAAAAAGTAGATTGATTTCAGTAATTCCATTTAAAAAGTGAAACTTGTATATTATATTCATACATTACATACAAACTCATATATTTCAGATGTTTATTTTGTTTAATTTTGATGATTACAAATGACAACAAATGAAAATCTCAAATTCATCATATCAGAAAATTAGAATATTGTGAAAAGGTTCAAAATTGATGGCCCCTGGTGCCACACTCTAATCAGCTAATTAACTCAAACCAGCTGCAAAAGCCTTTAAATGGTCTTTCAGTCTAGTTCTATAGGCTACACAATCATGGGGAAGACTGCTGACTTGACAGTTGTCCAAAAGACGACCATCGACACCTTGCACAAGGAGGGCAAGACACAAAAGGTCATCGCTAAAGAGGCTGGCTGTTCACAGAGCTCAGTGTCCAAGCACATTAATAGAGAGGCGAAGGGAAAGAAAAGATGTGGTCGAAAAAAGTGTACAAGCAAGAGAGATAACCGCACCCTGGAGAGGATTGTGAAACAAAACCCCTTCAAAAATGTGGGGGAGATTCACAAAGAGTGGACTGCAGCTGGAGTGAGTGCTTCAAGAACCACCACACACAGACGTATGAAAGACATGGGTTTCTGCTGTCGCATTCCTTGTGTCAAGCCACTCTTGAACCACAGACAGCGTCAGAAGCGTCTTGCCTGGGCTAAAGAGAAACAGGACTGGACTGCTGGTGAGTGGTCCAAAGTCATGTTCTCTGATGAAAGTAAATTTTGCATTTCCTTTGGAAATCAAGGTCCCAGAGTCTGGAGGAAAAGAAGAGAGGCACTTCATCCACGTTGCTTGAAGTCCAGTGTAAAGTTTCCACAGTCAGTGATGGTTTGGGGTGCCATGTCATCTGCTGGTGTTGGTCCATTGTGTTTTCTGAGGTCCAGGGTCAACGCAGCCACATACCAGGAAGTTTTAGAGCACTTCATGCTTCCTGCAGCTGACCAACTTTTTGGAGATGCAGATTTCATTTTCCAACAGGACTTGGCACCTGCACACAGTGCCAAAGCTACCAGTACCTGGTTGAAGGACCATGGTATCCCTGTTCTTAATTGGCCAGCAAACTCTCCTGACCTTAACCCCATAGAAAATCTATGGGGTATTGTGAAGAAGAAGATGCAATACACCAGACCCAACAATTCAGAAGAGCTAAAAGCCACTATTAGAGCAACCTGGGCTATCATAACACCTGAGCAGTGCCACAGACTGATCGACTCCATGCCACGCCGCATTGCTGCAGTAATACAGGCCAAAGGAGGCCCAACTAAATACTGAGTGCTGTACATGCTCATACTTTTCATGTTCATACTTTTCAGTTGGCCAACATTTCTATAAATCCTTTGTTTTTATTGGTCTTCAGTAATATTCTAATTTTCTGATATGATGAATTTGAGATTTTCATTTGTTGTCATTTGTAATCATCAAAATTAAACAAAATAAACATCTGAAATATATGAGTTTGTATGTAATGTATGAATATAATATACAAGTTTCACTTTTTAAATGGAATTACTGAAATCAATCTACTTTTTCATGATATTCTAATTTTATGACCAGCACCTGTATATTGTTTATAAAACTCTAATGCTGTAGAATTGTTTTGATCCTTCCTCTTAACAATAAGCTTGAGCAGTGAGCCGGTATTGACCTTCCTGACCTCTCTGGAAACGATTCTTGAGGTAAAAGAGGGAAATAAGTGCATGCTGTTTGGCCTTTTCGAAAAACAGGATGTTGTTAGCCTGGATCACTGAGATGTAGGGTTGCAGGACGGTTTGAAGATGACTGTGAAGCTGAGGCTTCCTCATCTGTTTAGTGGGCGTCATTCCTTCAGATGAAACTGAAGTCCAGCCTTGTTTTTTAACCACTTTTTAGAGAATAACTGCTAAACTTAAAGCTATTTTCACTAAGTTTTATTGTCAGAGTTTCAACTCTCATGCAGTTTGGTTAATACAGCAGATGTGATTATTTTTTGTTAAACTGAGAAGGTAAAATGATGATGGAAAAGATTTAAGATTGTTTCATAAACCAGGAATTTAAAGAAGACAGCAAATGTAGCCTTAGGCTGGTCTCCCCTCACCGATGTGGTCCTGGGGTGGGGTGAGGGCCTTCAGCAGGTTCAGCCAGTACGTGATGTGGCCCAGCTGGGTCTCGTACAGCTCCTCCAGGCTGAATAAGACCAGGTGGATCGCTGTGGCGTCATTGGCTGCAAAGTAGTCATAGGAGCAGTGGTAGACAGGGTTTCCTGAGAACTCCCATATGCTGAAATCCCCTACACCTTCAGATAAAAGAAAAAAAGAAAGCATAGAAGTTTAATTCTATAACATGTAATTCTTACATATCTATGCATTTAATTACAAAGATCTAGGTTAGAAGAGAGTGGGTGTTATTCAGGTTCTATGGGTTTCTCACCGTGGATGTTGGCATGCTGGATGTCGATGGCCTTGGTGGCCTGCTCGTCTGCTGTGGACAAGGCATTGTGGACGGGGGTGAAGACCTCCAGGACGCCTTTGGTCAGGCTAGGTTCAAACATCATGCTGCGACTGCGGACGCTTACGTTCTCACAGCCAGGATATAAGTTGGAGATGCTCACAGAGACTACGGAAGCAAGCGAGGGACAGGAGACTTTTTACCAATCAGCTTTTATCATTATTGTGCTGCAGCTGATAGATCAACAGGTGTGAATTCTTGAGAACTTGGCAGTTTTCCACTGAGTCGGCCTCTTTTTGCTAAAGTAACAGAAATCACTGTATACTTGGTGTGCAGATTCAACCGGAAGCAGTTTTTTTCCCGTCCATGTTTTAATGATGCTTCTAGTTCAGTTTTCTGGACATGAACAGAAAACTTTATTAGATTTATTACAGTTTTAGCTAAAACTATAATTCCTGTTTCAGACCAAATGCATTTCATTTCTTCTGTTCTGCATTTGTCTCAACACTGTCTTTAAAATCTGGAAATTTTCCTTCATGACAAAGTTCAGCTGTTCATGGTCCTTGGCAATAATCCAACTGGAGTAGCTGAACTGCATCTTCATCCTGAATTGTTCTTGTTTAGGCATTTGTTTTAGAAATGCAAAATATACAAATTAATCAATAATATTTCCTCAATTCTAGCAAATATAAACCCTTACTTGATAAGAAAATATTTTCCTATGTCAAAATGTGTCACAAAGAAAGAACTTAAGTCTAATGTCATATTTGTTAACGATGTCTTTACTGCTACAAAGAAAAACAAACACCAAAAATGTTTAAACATTGTGCAGGAGTAGCTATTGTATAGTTTTCACCAACACTTTTTGCTTTGCAACACATGGGGGCGACATTCAACTAAAAATAAATCTGCTAAGACTTTATGTTTGAAATTACCCTCAGACACAGTATGGGCTTAAAGCAAGTCAAACATTCAGATCCTATTAAACAGCTTAGATGCATCCAGTGTTTTTTTTTTAGAATTCATCCAAATACAGCAGAAACAAAACACTAACGGCACATGTGACAACTAGCACTGCATAGATCCTAAAACATGCAGTGAAATTCGCTTCGACCCTTAAGGTCATTCCAGAGAATGTTTGGTTTTTATTACTGCTCTGCAGGCCTTCGGCTTCCTCCACCTCTGGAGGAGGTGGAAATGTAAATGAGATGTCGTCTCCAACCCTCTGACTCTATCTGCTGCATTGGTGCAGCTACACAAAAGACAAACCTGGTTTAGATTCACCTCAATATAATTATAGAACACATGACAAAGTTAATTACTGTTGTTCTTTAAGCTGATGGATTCCCAGCTTGTGGATGGGATGTGATCGGTAACCTGATGTGATATCAGAGCAGAGATCCTCTCTGTTTGTCTGGGAGCTAACAGCTCTGATTTAAGTTTGGCTACAGAAGAACTTTAATGAGGTCTATAATCATATTTAAAAAGTTGCTATCACATGGCTCCGTCATTTACAAACATCATCTCTTAAAGCTTAAGGAAAACACATTTAGGTCTGGACAAATAATAACAGCTAAACTTTTAGCTTTGCCAGGATTAAATTCTACCTCTAATACTAATAAGTAAATAAATAAACTAGAAAACTGTCTCTAAGAGCTGTTGTTGCCCTGAGTAAAACAATCTCATCCAAACCCTAAACATCAATATTTATTTATTTAGTATCAATAAATTTTTCTTAAAATCGAGGTTGTTTCTGTTACATTTACATATTTATTCATTCATATATTTGTCCTGCCCTTGAATTTGCACAAAGGAATCCTGATTCTAATAATCTACACTAAAAAAAATATTTCAGGAAAACCGAAAAGGGATTTAAAAAAAAAGGAAGAACTTTTCCACAATAAGATTGGTTGTAGGAAAGAGTGAAATCAGTAAAACTGCTTCAGATTTCTAACCTTAGGTTAAAACTGATGAAGGCTGTAGGTAAAACATTCACTTCATTGTATCCATTTCATAACAACATGGTTGGATGAAGTAGACTTTCCTTATGTTAGCACCTTCTTTGCTGAGAGAATGACAACCATATTTCCTTTTCCATTCGTTTACTTGTGATAAATGTTTCTCTACTTTTTTTTATCATTTGAACATTTTCATTCAACAAAGAAACATCTGATTCTTTTCAACCTGCAGATTGCCTGTTCTGTCATTTTTAAAACCAATTTACAACAGCATAGCCATCAACATGCACAGACTGGGCTGATTCATGGAGAGCTGTCAATTACCTGCAGGTTTGGAGTTGATGGGGGAGTTGGGGTGTCGGGCCGCGTTTGTCATACGAGACGTCCTCCTCCTCCTGAAGAAGCTGCGCAGGATGCCACATTTCAGAGACTCCAGCAGGGTGCTCTTTCCAGCTCCAGAGTGTCCAAACAGCTTCAGTTTGATCCTGGGTTGGATGGTCTGAGTGGGACGCAGCTGCTGGATGTAGCTCAGTTTGTGGTTGTCCTGATTACAAGAGAGAAACGTTAAGAGGAATACAGAGGAAGAGAAAGGCATCACTGACATCCGTCTACCCTTTATGATCAACATGGATGTTTACTTTCTCTGTTTTTAAACCAAACCTTTTTTTTCCCACTTAATTTCCCATTTATATAGCTGTGTACAGCACTATGAACATCCACCTTGGAAAGAAAACATCTGTTGTGGTTTCTAAGACCATAACAAATCTTCTCCGTTTCAAAAGCGTCACGGGTTCTTTAAATATGGAACACGTGATAGATAACAAGCATAAAAGGGGATGGGATTTTAAAAAGAACTGGATGCTTTTGGCACAACCAGAATGTTCGCTCCCTCCCGTAGCTCTACAATCCTGCCAGTTAAACATTTTTTAACAAATAAGACTGTCTTGTAACCATCCACCAGATGAGTCAGCCATCAGAAGTGGCCTCCAACCCTCTGAGTGGTTGTGTGGGATGTAAAAACACTCCACACTCCCACCTGGGTTATGAATCTGCATTGTGTAAATGCAGTTTGTAATTCCAGCGTTTGTGGTTCAAAGAGGACAAATATTCACGTTGAACCAAATGTGCTCCGTCTTTTCTTTGTTTCTGACGCCTTGAGGAGTCGATCTTTCTATCGAATCTGGTTTCCATGTGTTAAAACGTCTTAATTTAGCCCAACATATGCAGAGGATGACTGTTTTCACAGTTGCTGCTTTCATGTTCTCGCACTCTGCTCTGAATCTCAGCAGGTTTGATGAGAAAATGGAATCAGATGGTAAGTCGGTATCATTCTGCTTTAGATGGGGTCCACTTGCATTTTTATCCTTATATTTCCGATGTTTTCAGGATTAAATTGGTAAGAGTCCTTAGATTTTGTTTTTGACAAAGTCACATTTATTCATGGTAGATATTTCAAAATGGCTTTAAGCAAAGAGACTGAAAGGAAGCAAGTAGGAAGGAGAGACTGAATAATCAACCTTTTTCTGTCCATTTCCTTTACTTGTACCAAATTTGAAAAAAAAAAATAATAATAATTTTATCCATACCCTGATTGCAACTAAAATCCGGTGGCATACATGTATAGGAACATTGGAGATTCACAAAAACCAGGGCATGAATCAATTAAAATTAACACTACGTCATCATATTTTTGCTGAAGTTAAAGTAAAAAGTAGCCATCCAAGAAATAACTCAAGGAAGAGCGAATAAAGTATTTCTCAAGTACTGAGCAACTTATTTACTCACTACACATGATCATAGTAACTAATTTAATGTTTTACCAAATGACGTAAAGTTAAACAAAATATAGTTATATACAAATTCTGGCATTTCAAAGAATAAGATAACAAACATACAGCAAAAGAAATAGTTACAGACTGTTAGAATAGGCTAAATTACAATATATTGTTTACTGTATTTTAAAGTTATTTACTGTTTTATTAAGTAAAATTGCTCATAATGGGTGTAGTAGTCGGACATTTTACTTCAAAGAAGTGATACTTTTTCCAGAGTTTTTCTCAAGTAAAACTAGACAGAACAATGCTCTAAAATTACGAAAAGTATGTTCATTTTTAAGTTACTCAAGTAAATGTAACCACCCAACTGTGTCCAGCACTGACTTATTGGATCCCACAGGCTGAAGTTATTTTAAAATCGGGGTATTGGAGGATTCTGATCAGATGGATCATAACGCTGTAATTTCATAAGGTTGAATGTGTCTATTTGTAATGATTTACACTGAACAGATACAATAATAAGCCTCAGTCCAGGTGGAGTCCCGTACCACCCAACCAGACAGCCCAGTGTGTCTATGGAGGGCGGACACCAGCAGCATGTTCACCCCACAGCTGGTTCTGCCCCTCACTGTAAGCCATGCTATTTCCCCTGATGTGGCATTAAACAAAAAGTGGCTAAAAATGAAGCCAAACAGAACTCCTTTGACTTCTTCAAGAACATCCAACAACTGGTTAAAGTGCTGAAAACTTCCAGCAATAGTGTGCGTTGGGAGGAACACGTGCATCTCCACACAGATGACGGAGTTTATGTAGCGATGTATGGCTCTATGTGTGGGGTAACGTGCCATCAACATGTTGTTAAAATCTAACACGCTTCTATTGCCGTCTCTACACCTCTACACCAAAATAGTCGGGCGTTGACACTGCCTGACTGCATCATCACCACCTGCGTCAGACATTTAGTCTTATATCGCTAACTACGTTAAGGCTTTTGAAAACAATTCGTTAAATGACTCCATTCTTTTTTTTTTTTAAGGTGTTGATGTTTTTTTTTTTTCATCCTTACCTTTTTAAGCTTTCCCAGTAAATCCACTATGTGCTCATGATGATCAGTTGAAGCTAAATCCTCTGCCGTCTTTCCTTCCTGCATTGGGCGAAGAAAAAAGAAAACTTTTATTTCCCATTCTTGTTTCTGCATCTATAACGATGAAATCAAACTCTCCTGGATGAATTCTCCAGGAGGCCAGAGTCTGGGTTATTTCCTAGACGCCCACCAATTCCTGTATAGACAAAACTAGAGTTTGGTTCAAATTGAGTCCAATACTGGAATACTAGCCATGATTCTTTACTTACTGGTGGTAAAAAAAAAAAATAATAATAATAAAAAAAAAAGTTCACATAAACTAAGGCCTGAAGATCTTTAGATGCTGCTCTGGATTCTTCTGGGAACTCCTGGATGGGTCATCACTGAACTCCTGGAGTAATAATTGTAGGCCAGCCACTTCTGGGAAGATTGATAACTCTTTCAGGTGTCACTTAGTGGATAAAGCTAAACTGTTCTTAAATTTCTTTAGCTCGGGCTGCGAAGGGTTTCTTAAACTATAAAAGCCTGCCTCATGTTGTCAGACAGGTCCTGTTTATTATTTAAATTTTTTTTAACAGTGTCCCGTCTGGCGATGTGGCAATGAGAATAATTGTCTTGATGCCAAAAAGAGCCCAACAGATTTTGCTTTCAAAAGTGGAGCAATAAGGCTATCGCCAAAGTGTTCGCTTGATTTATGCATATAAATTGCTAGAATATAATTAATGCAGGGAGTGTTGCAGATTTTATGGACACTGCAATGTAAGTAGAACAGTAAGGGAAAAACAGACAAAAAAGGAAAAAAAAAAGAAAGAAAAAGATAAAAGAGAGATAACGATAACACTTCTTCAGTCTGCTTCATCACCTGCAAAGAGATGTAAAAAAAAAAAAGCACAACCAACAGACATATCAGAAGATAAAAATATGGGCTTTCTGTGTGGAAGTTAATCTTTAAGAACCTGGAACCAAGCCCCTGTAGTTGTTTGTGAGAGTGCACATATGTGTGCAAAGTTTATCCAAAGGAAAATGCTCAATAGTGGTTGTGAAGAGCCATAGACACGCCCCTCCAGAGCACCGAGGCGAGCGCCAGGGACCCAAAGCCCCAGACGCACCAAGGGATTTTAAGAGCAAAGGTTCCCAAGAGAGGCCAACCCAGGAAATCTGACCTCCCAACAAGGGAGGAGGGATGACCCAGAGGAAATTCCCCATTCATCGCAATGCTGGAGCTCCAAGGAGCCATGGAGACAAGTCTGCGGGGTCCGCCAGCAGCCAGCCACCCCCAAGTGGATCCAGACATAGGCCCGAGGGATCCGAGGCCCGAGGGGTGTCCCACCACCTGGCGGGAGCGCCGACCAGGCCCCAGGGGGTAGCCGCCAGCATAAGCCAGTACCTACCCAAGCATCCAACCCCAAAAACTGAGCACCACCAGTGCACTGGTGAGTCCAGGCATCAGCCAGCGGAGGGAGAGCAGGACGGGGGGAATGGGCTTCGAGACAGGTCCTGTTTAAATGATAAATTGATTCTGTAGGTCTGGGGGAATCATTAAACCTAATTTGTTCCATCAGCATATAAAATAATTAGGTAAATACCAGCTAGTTTTCAAATAAAAGGGGGAAATTACATTTAGGTTTGCCAGTTGGTTTCAGAATTTGTAGATTTCTACTGGTTTTAAATAAACGTTTTGGCTTTCTTCATCTTCTAAGGAATCTGAACTTATTGAAGCTTTATTATGTTTGTAAAAACATATTTTTGTTTTGCCTTCAGATAATGCTAGAAAAATAGCTGTGAGATTAAGAGGCGAGAGTCCCGTTTTCTCCAATAACGTTATTCTGTTTAAGGAAAAGCCTACATTTTAGATTCCTCAGTCTATTGATAATCACTGCATATTTGAAGCACTGTTGGAAATATTTCCAATTTGTTCTAACCCGTTTCCTTCCCAAAACGCACAGTCAACACCACCCCTCCCAAAAAAATAAATGGTTTTAGGTGTTAGGAACAGAGCCATCTGTCGCTGTGTGGATGTGTTTGTTGCTCCAAATGGAGAAACAGTCTCCATAGTTTGTTATGGATAAAAACAAAAAAAAAAATAAACAAACCTGTGATTCACTATAGACAAAAATGGCTTAAAGCTTTTCCTGCTGCTACGTCTGCATCATTTTTGTATATCATATCAGGAGAGCACCTCTGAGCTAAAGACTGACCACTTTAATGTCTTAGAAATTTAACAGGAGAGCTACAGATGGCAGAGTGTCACAATTACTACTACTGATGCCTGGCAACCACAGAGGAACATTAGGCTTGTTAATCACACAAGCTGGAGGGGAGCACCACAACACCCAGGTCATTACATAACTGTTGCTATGAAGAGTTTCAAAGGATGAGGAATAATTATATAAGCAACCGGACAGCGTTTGAGTCATGGAGGGGTTTAAATATAAGAACTTTATTTTTAATGTCAAATAGGAGAAGGAAATCTCAGAAATAAAACATCTAGATGCTTCAGCTTGACATTCCTTTATGCAACACAGAAAACTGGACAATTCATTATACATTTCAAAATGTATTCCACCTCAGCTGTCATACAATATCAACCACAAAGGAAGGGAAGACAAAACGATCTGTGTGGAACAGCTGGAGTTGGAAACAGTCTTGGAGCTTTAATAGCCGTCAGGCTCCTACACCTCATCACTATCCAAGCCGCTGAACAGTCTCCTTTAAGAGTTTGAACTTTTCTCCTTTCATTTGTGAAAATGAGAAAAAGAGGCAACTTTGAAACAACTGGACCTCATAACTCCTCCTCACTGCCTTGTTAAGGAGCCAGACATGGGCTGTCTCCTCTAAAGAGAGGAGGCCTGGAAACCCAGAGGAGTCACACTCCAACACTTTCAGAGGACTGAGTGGCAAGACAAATATGACCAATTAAAACAAACCGTTTTCTCATCAGACTCACCATTTATACTGTCCACACACAGACCTGAACAAGCTTCCAGTTTTTTAAACAATGTGAGATTGCTGGAGTCACTTATAGGACCAAGCCAACACTAAACCAGTCTACCAGTCCAAAGTTAGTCCAGAAAGTTCATAGAAAAAAAAGTAAAAAAAAAAAAAAAAAAAAAACTGTTTCCAAATAAATCTGACTGCTTTAATTCTTCATCTGTTAATTAATCCCAAATATTAGTGCTTTCTGCCTTATGTATAAAAACTGTTCCCCGCCTTTAATAAACTATTTAATACTTTTATTAACTGATTTCATTTCTATGTTAGATTTTACATATCGTTACTTAAAGATTTTGATAATTCTCAAAAATGGCTTTAACTATAATTGAACAAAAATAAAAATGCCAACACCACAATAATTTCACACACAGATCGATCACTTTAGCCTCAGATTCCAACAACGATCTCTGTGTAAATGCAAATCAATCTTAGAATAAGAAAATAAAAATCCTTTTAGCAAACCTAGAGAAATGAATCTTGTCGAGGTTAATCACTCTCACAGTAGACACTCTAAAAAAAACCTCAGATTTGTCGATTTAAAGGTTTAAAAAACATCCATGACAAAAATGTATGGAATTCATCAAGCGGGAGAAACAAACCGGCAATGGCGCCAGCTATTTTTTCCAACTGGGTGAAGAAAGACTAGAGGGACCAATTTATTCTGAGTTTTGGGGTGTGATTTTCCCAGCAGCAAATCTGTTTATCACCAATTTCTCTGCAGCTCAAGCAGAAAGTGACAAAATGTCTCAAACAATTAAGCTGTTATTTCATCAGGGAGATCTTTTTTTTTATTATTTCTAAATGAGGCTGAGCTACTTATTATTATTAACTGTGTTTATCTGCTATACTAAAATGGTTATGTTGGATCTTCCCTGAAATGGTGAATCTGTTAGGATTTCCAACCAAAGGGGGGGAAGTGACTCACGTTAGTGACGGTGTCGATGTTAGCTCCGGCCAGGCAGAGGTGGCGGACAACCTCAAGGCTCCCGTTTCCAGCGGCCAGGTGAAGAGGTGTTTTACCATACTGAAGAAGAAGATTAAAATAAAAATGTTATGAGAAACATGATAAAAAAACTATTTCTCTTCAGAAAGTGTGATCTCACTATCAACCAAGTGTCTTAACAATGATTCTGTTAGCATGTTTATGCAGTCTGTAGGCCTTTACCTTCAAAAAATGCAAAGACAAACTCCTCCTTAATCCTTGAATAATACATCATCCTACAAATGAAAGTAGCACAGCCGAGCTAATGAAGGGACAACAGTGCTGTGGTTCAATATGTCAGAGAAATGCTGTTTATACTTTATAGCAATAACTGAGTGAAAATTTATCCAGGTTACCGATATAAATAACAGTTAGTGTACAGAACATATCGGTAAAAATAGCATTAGTACTAGTATTGGTAGCAAAAATTATAACAAGAGTAGTTATTTTTTTAACATTTCACACATCCTTCATTGTTTTTTGCCTTCATCTAATGCTGGCCTCTGTGTATATTATATCTGTTTTAAAACTATAAAAGGTTAAAGAAATAAACCTATGGAATGATGTTTTATCTATGGTACATTAAAACTGCTTTTAGACAATAAAGATGCAATTTTTTGGCCCCGATACCGATACCTGGCTGTGCCTTATTGGCCGATATCGAAACCATCTGTTTGAAAAGGATGTGTGTGTGTATATATGAAAAACTCCATACTACTTGGATGTAAAATAATTGCCATAATGGCTTTGACAAGCTGCTGCCTATATTTGTGAAGCAGGAAAAAGACTAATACAAAGTGAATCCACTAAAACTTTTTATTGTCTACCTGGAATGGGTGACAATAGTTGAATAAACTTTTAGATCTCAAAATGGTATCGGTGCCCTATTTGTTGGTATTCGCCGATACCGATACCACCATTTTAGTGCTGGATCGGGGCCCCAACCAATACTGAAATACGTATAACACTAAATAACAGTAGTAATAATTCTAGTAGTTTCATAGTATTGGTGTTGTTGCAGTAAACACCCTTTTGTCTTTATTGGTAGAAATCACCTTTTTTTTTAAACAAACACTTTCTTTGGTATTCCCCCTGGTTGAATCAGTTACTTGAAACTAAAACTTGACCATGAATAAAAATAAAAACTGAAACCATAATAAAAGTTAACAAATGAATTGAAACTAACTGAATATAGTAGAGAATTGGTTTAATTTTTGCGCCGGGGGTGGCAGGCGCTGCGGTCATTTGTGTTACTGCAGTGGTCTGTCCTTATGTGGGATTTAATTTCTCTTGATATTACTTTATTTTTTCCTCAGTCACACCCCTTTTTGTAAGTCTGTAAGTCTTCTTACATAAAAAACTAAAAATATCACTGAACCTAATAAAAACTAACCCGAAACTTAGCCTTTTCAAAAATGCAAACAAAGACTTAAAAACAGATTAAAACCAAAATGAGAAAATATGAAGTCAAAACAAAATAAAAATAAAAACTAATGTAAAATAAAAAAAAAATAAAAAACTATGAAGATCTTGTTAGTCCCTTTAAAAGCAAAGATACCAGCTGCTTTATCATTCTAATCATCAAAAAAAACCTGGTTATTCTTTTACCCTAAATTAGGTAGAGAAGCCCTTCATGTCATCCCCCTTCTTCACACCGTCTCACTGACTTAGCTAAATGCAACAAGAAACCACTCAACCTGTCTCGGTTCATACATAAATCCCATCGAGACATCGGGATGTCAAAACCTAGGTTTAAAAGTACCAATTTTAGAAAAGCCTACTACATTACTTGCAGCAGCCTGGCTTTAAAGAGATCTGTTACCACTGATGATGCCATGTTTTGTTTGCACTGAAGTAAGCTGCTGATTAAAAGAGAAATGCAGCCCTGAATCAAAGGGTGATTACGATAATTACTGAATAATTACCATCATTAAAACAAAAGGTAAACATGAACCTATGACTCAACCTTTTAATTCTTAAACATTAATCTATTACCTGACAGTTATAGGAAGAGTAATATTTTATCCAAAATAAACCCTGATATAAGCAGCATTTTAACCCCAGTTTGAACAAACATTTGAGCATCCATCTTTTCCTATGACTCCGTAAACAGGGCGAGACATTTTCCATTCCCTCCTGCTTATTTATCTGCTCAACTTTTTCCAGCTGACAGATAACACAAACCGAGGCACAGAGTGTGTGAGATAGTATGTGTTATGCTGCTCTAGACACGTCTGAAAGAAGGGAAAATAATGCATAAATCACAACAGATCTGGCAGATATGGACCACTTCACTGAACTACGCTCAGAAATGTTCCTGACTGCAAGCAGCATTTGGGAAAAGCCCATCTGAAGAATAAATTAAAATGGATGGTGTTGAAATAGAAAGTGAGATCAGCAGCGTGTGGGAAGAGGTGCCTGGCAAAGCAAAGCGAGCTCCTGTATCAGATATGCAAGAGCCTTCTTTAGATACTGAACATCAGAACAAGGTTTTAATGCCACAAAGGTACAAGAAACAGGTTTAATAGGTTTCCAAGAAAAGACTGTCACATCCTTAGGTTCTGTACCGCCACCAGATCGATATAAAAAACTAAACTGTAAGTATTTAAAAAGGTAAAGCACATCTGCTTCTTGTCTGTATTCATCCCCATGTTTTAGGACTATTTGGCCTGATTTCAATACAGCTGTGCTGCAGAATCCAGAATAAGAGGACACAGCAGTTTGATCTTTTATTTTGACACAGGAAGGGTGGGGGTGAAGGAAATAAAAAGAAGTAAAAGCTCCACCACAAAAACTTAACCAAAGATGTTCATGTTTTTGTCGATTTCAAAGCCTTTTTTGATTGATCAGATATTAATTTATTGTAATCAAACAGACGGATAATTCCAGTCTGAGGTCCTTCAGTGTGGGAGAATTGCTGCAGACGTTCGCTCACCTTGTTGGGCAGGTCGAGGCTTGCCTTGGCGTTGCACATCGCCGTGACGATAGCCAGATTTCCATCCTTGCAGGCGATGTGGAGGGGCGTGTTGCCATGGCGATCCTGTCGGTCCAGATTGCAGCGTTGTCTGAGGAGGCAGCGGACCACTTCTACCTGACACCTACGTACGGCCAGGTGGAGAGCTGTGTGTCCGTCCTATAGAAAAGAACGACACAAACACTGAATGAAGCGAACCTTCTGAGCAGTGATAATAGACACGGATGATATGTGGGACTGATTCTGAGGTTTTAGGTGTTTATGTGTGAGCAGCAGCATCGTTATCACACCAAGCCATTGTCGTTTTCTTGTAACTAATCAGACCAGTTAGTCTAAATTTGTTTTGGAATTTTTGCCATTCATTGATGGCCGTAAATACCTGGATAATTTCCAGTGGAAAGAAATAAATAATGAGGAGGATACTGAGGAAGAAGTGGATAACCCAGCTTAAAACTTAAAGCCCTTGAATATGTCATCACCTTGTCTGTGGCCTCAAGGTCAGCCATGTGCTCCACCAAGCACTCCACGATGTCCACAAAGCCCCGAGCAGACGCCGTCAGCAGCGCACTCTCCCCTTCACGGTTCTTGGCGTCCACATGGCAGCCTGCCTGGCAGAGCGCTCTGGCCACAGCAGAATATCCATGCCAAGCTGCACAGTGGAGCGGTGTCTCCTGCTCCTGTTTCGGGATTATAATTCAGAAGAAAGATCAAACTCTACTTCTCCAATGACCATTTAATTCATCATGTTTGATCCATAGAGGAGCAAGCCCTCACCCGGTCTGTCAGGTCTGGGTTGGCCCGGATGCTGCACAGATAGCTGACCACATCGACGTTGCCATAGCGAGCAGCGACATGAAGAGCCGTTTCTCCAGACTGGAGTAGAAAAGCAACAAATCCAGGGATTACAAAATTCAGATTGTGTTTTACAGATCACATTCTCTTCACTTGAAGCACAGTACAAATGTTGCTGATGTCCATGCAGACAAATAGAAATTCATCGTCTCTCCTCACTCCAGAGAAGCGGATAAAACAGTCTGTACAACTCATGAGTCTACAATTTGTCACATTAAAAAGGACATAATTGCAGCATTTCTTGCAAAAAAAAAAAGCAAAAAAACATCAAATCCTCCAGTTTTGTACGGTTATATATCCTTTTTAATGAAAAGTTCGAGAAACACACTGCATGGAGCATGTGGAAACACGACTCTACTAACACAAGTTTACTTTCAAAATGTTTTTATATAAACCAGAGGGGGATAACATGTCTAATTAGCATATTCAACAGTATTGCTTCAACTAGTCTGCCCGTACTTTAGATCCACAACCGCAAATTAATGAGTAACGAATCAATATGCGTAACAATATCAGAAAAGCCTATATTTTTGCAGCAGTTCTAATAAATGATCTTGTTTAAACTGGAGATCAACTGATACAGGTCATTTTGACATCAGCCCATCTGATCCCCTAAATGTGCTGCTGATACTGCTTTTTTCCTCCATTTGCATGATAAAAATAACAAAATGGCAAATGTTACAGATGCCTTAATTTTGACAAAAATTAAAAATTTATCAATAAATTTAAACAACCATTAAAAACAGAAGTACAGGGAGGAAGCAGCAGAGCGCAGCGCTTCATCTGATCAAGACTTAGCTGCTGAATGTGATAATTGATCAGCAGATGCATGAAGAAAAAACAACAAAAAGCAGAAATCTGACAGATAATGTATCGGCCTCTGTTTAATTCTAACAAAAGCAATTTGTTAATAACACCCATAAAAAATAAATAAAAAGAATACATCACCATTATGTGAACTTTGGTATTTTCATTATAAATGATAATATTCCAACCGTAGTTCGGATATTTCATGAAACTGAACTTGGTCTTAATATTAGTTTCTCCAAAGAAACCTAATTGAACAGAATTATAGCAACCTTTAGACATCTATAAATGACTTGTTAGAAATGTTTTTATAAACTTTCTTTGTTAATAAAGGGAAGAGTATCTCTGAAACTACAACCAAGACCATGAGTTTGTTGTCTAGGGAAAAGAAGCCACTAAAATAAAATGTAATGGACTTAAATACCTTGTAAAGTCTTGAGTCATCCCTTATTTCTTTATTAGTTTATCAAACTTGACTATAAAGGTTAAACATGTTGATCTTTTTTCATGTCTAGAAAGCAAAACTCAGTCCTTTGAATCAATCAGGGATAAAATGATTTCTAAACATTGGAGATGAACCGTTCTGTTGTTACCAGTTCATTAGCATTTCTTTAATGAAAATCTGTACTTCTAATTAGGACTGACAATTCTAAATAAAACTAAGTCAATAAAAAGGAACCAGTTAATCAGTACAGTCCACCTTCGCGTCCCTCTAACACACCCCTCAGAGGAACAAGGTGAAGTTTTACTCATACATCAGTGGGTTTTTTTATGATTAAACAAACACCTGAAGCTACAATAAAATGATTTTAATTAAAGAAATCAAAGCATATTATTTAAAAAAATGGCCTAGTCAAAGTCCGGAGCTAAAACAAATATATATTAGCAGCAGGACTTGCTGCAAAGTGAGAAAATCTTGTAAATGAGAAAACATTTTGCAAAGAACTGGAAAAAATCTCAGCCTAAAATAATACAAGAGTTGGAAGCAAAAAGACTTAAAACTTTAATCGCAGTGAAACATTGTTCTACAAAGTTTCTATTCATTTCTAGTTCACATTTATGGAGTAGACATTAAAATCCTGCTAGGATAAACCAGTTTATGGCTGCAAAGTGTACAAAGGCTTAAAAGTTCAAGTTACGATAAGAGGTGAGAATCAGTGTTTCTATTCTTTGATCAGACAGAGATGCCTCAGCTCGTCATTTCAAAGTTACAGCGTAATAAAACACAATGAAAGTTTAATGATTCCTGGACAGGATCAAGACAATAAACAGGAAGGAGCCTGGAGTGCAGATTAGCTGAGGTCTCTTGGACGAGGACTCGCAGACAGACAAGGACACTGGCGCCTAAAATCCTTTGATAGATTGCAAACTGCTTTTGGGATATTCTGTGCCAGAGTGAGCTCTGTGTAATCAAGCCATGGCAGCAGCATCAAAAACAAACACACACACAGTGATGCTCCATCTTTTCCTGTTGCTATAGCAACAACAAATAAGCAGATAAATTGCCTGAGTAACTGCTTTTCTCTTCAGGTGTGTGAAGCCTTATTGTGGATGCGTTTGTGGTCATTTTCAAAGCAACGTTTCTCCCGAGGTCTGTTGGGTGGGAGGTGGTGAGTAGCTGGAGTAGTAGTAAGGATGTTAGCTTTAATGTGTGAGGGGGGGGCGGCTGACTCACCTTATCTTGGACATCCAGAGGGCATTTCTTTTCATGGAGGAATTTCAGGGTCCCCACATGGCCGTGTCTGGCTGCGTAGTAGATAGCGTTGGCTCCGCTCTGGAGGTTGTAGAGAGAACATTCCAGATTTGATTCCAAAGATATTCAGAAAAAAAAATAACTCGTGTTTCACCTGGGACTATTTTAGGGAGGCGCAGACATCCTGCATTCAGGAGTGCTATAGTCTAGTTGCTGCCATGGCAACGGTTAACAAGGGAGTTTGCTGCAAATCTCTGGTTGCGTGTTTAATTTGCACATCTATTACCCAATCATTATCACTAAACGGCTTCACCCACAGGATGCTGACTTCCTACTGTCCTACTTTTTAGAGCCTTTAGCAAACTCATGAAGAAATTCTGGCCAGACATTTATCCATTCTGTTTTTTCCAAAATATTAAAGGGTTAAATTTAACCATTTAAACATTGTCCATTGCCTTCTACTAGAGTTGGGGCCATTGAAAAAGGTAAAAGCATGCTTCCTTGTTCTCTCAATTCTCCCACTCATGTCCAGGTTTCAACCGTTTAACCCAAACTGTTACCTTTAAGTGAAAAGAAACTGGTTAGATTAATGAAGAACAACCAGACTAGTTCTATCCAGCCAGGGACTGAGGGGCAGACGGTTAAACAAGGCGTAACTCAGATCAATGCCTACAAGCTTGTTAAAAACACCTAGCTAGCTTAATGAATAAACTGTATATTGTTTCAAGAAAAGGTTTCTGGTTAGAGATGATGAACAAATGGATGTGTGAGGGATTGTATTTGAGTCAATGAGTCATAGCAATCAACTGGTTTTCCTTAGATAGAAAACTTTGTATCAATTTGACTGTATGATCTGTAAAGTGCCTTGAGATGACGTGTTGTGAATTTGGCGCTATATAAATAAACTGAATTGAATTGACCTCTTTGGTCACAATGGCTCAGAACAGCACACTGACGGCAGCTTTATGACTGCGGGTCTCTTCCACTACCAGTGGTACTAGTGCTGTGTACTTGCTGGGATAAAAATCAACTCTTCTATTCCATTAAAATAACTAAAAATAAATGTGTTTCAAAACAACAATGATTTTAAACCTACATCAGAACTGGTTTTGCACAGGGAATAGCAGGAACAGATGAAAGTTCAGTCTAAATAATCTAGAGGCTCGCTGATGATGATCAGAGCATACTGTTCATTTTCAACAGCCAATGAATGCCTAATTTTTCCTAACCTCAATCTGCTAACAATCATTTAACTGACTCAATCTAAAAGAAAGAGCGCCTCAGATATAAAATGACGGGAACTACAACTGCAACATTAGTGGAGTGTAATGAAATTTGGCTTAATTTTCCTTGAACCATGCTGTAAACTGATGCTAATCCATTCAGGATGAGTCCCTGGACTGATGTGATGCAATGGAAAAGCTCTGATGTTTTTGTCTCTGTACCCCTGTTGATTCAGGACATCATCTCTTGCAGAGAAGATAGGATCAGTGGTGTTTGTATGTATTACATAAAGGTTAATGTAACAGTCACACTGTAGTCAAATTCAAAAGTACCTAAAGATTCCATGCCTTAATAATAAGATATAGAATACAGTTGGAAATGCAGAACAAATCAAAGCTTTTGTTTAAACCAGAGCACTTATCACAATAAATGCAGATTGTGTTTTTCTTTCAGATCTCTGCAGAATGTACAACTGGATCCCAGCTTTTCTCTAAACACCCTAAAGTTTAGAAAATAAAAACTGGAAATAAACAAAGATTAACCATAAACCTGTCATGTAATGTGGCTGAAATACTGAGATTTCCCATAGTTCCCAATGATGAAAACTTGCATAGTTTATTATTCAAATGCACATCAATCCGGTTTTACCTCATTGAGATGTCTCAGTAAGTACTTAATTTGAACTATACACACCAGTATGTCTGAGGAATATGCAAACTTATTTGCCCCTCAACAGGATACATGACATAAAACCAAATTCATTTATTTTCTCTGATTGTCTGATTTAGGGAAGACTGTCTGACAGAAATATTTGCAGAAGATTCTCTTCACTCCTCCACACTGCAATTTTAATGCATTCAATTTGTGTCCAATAACCTGCACAGCTGGAATCAGAATGAACAGGTTTTACCTTGTCATTAGCCTGGATTTCGGCACCTTTCCTCATCAACACCTCGATGATCTGAATGTTGCCACAGCCTGCTGCAATAAGGAGCGGCGGTGTCCCATGCTGTGTTACAAAACATTTCATGATTTTAGTTTTATCTGGTGGTATCCAGGCTGTTAGTACAGAGGAAAAAAACAGGAGAAACCATCTTTGTGTTCAGGAGAATTTCTATTTTTTGTTTTCAAGTTTTTAAAAAACCTTTTTCTGTTGAACAACCTGAAACCAAATACAGCATATTCTCTCTTCCTCATCTCTCTAAATGTTAGTAACACCAACAACTTTTATTCAAATGCAACACATTTACAAAAAAGTGAGGGCAAAATGAAAAAAATATATGTTAAGGTTTAACAATCTGCATAAACATATTCATGGAGTTAGAGATAACATCTGAATTCTGCAAAGGAAGGTTTCAACGTAGCAGATTTAAATGTCTTTCTCCTGACTCCTTAGTCCTGTCAGGATATTTGAAAAGATGAAGTATACAAACAGATCTAATATTAAAGAGAGAGAAGGAAGGAAGGAAGGAAGGAAGGAAGGAAGGAAGGAAGGAAGGAAGGAAGGAAGGAAGGAAGGAAGGAAGGAAGGAAGGAAGGAAGGAAGGCTGAGCTTCGTCATAATAAACTGTTTACTAAAACAGTGGACAGCAGCAGCAGCCCTGCATCCCACAGGAAGTCCAGGAGGAATCATGTTTCAGAACAATTCATTAAGGATTTCTAAAGCTACCCTCTGCCTTCTGAGCTCTCAACCAAACAAACACAGTTTTACTCCTCCTGCTGACATAATCTTCAGTTTAATTTGCCTCAGACGTCTGAACCTCGACTCAGAACGCATTTTAGTTGTGGGTCGGAAAACCTGAGGGATTTGCAAATTGATGCAGGGTTAACTATTAGAAGCAACAAGCAGAATACAGCATCTTTCCAATCACTAAGGCTGCACAACCCAGCATGTTGATAAAATGGATAACTATTTGAACTAGCCATATTTAATATCAAAAAGGAAAAATCTAACTTCTGAGTGCAGAAAAAATAAAACAAACTAAAACTGTCATGGCTGTGTCAGGTGGTTTTATCAATTCAGACTAAACTCTGAGAAGAGTCACCTTGTTGGGCTGGTTGACGTCGTAACTGTTCAATGAGCCGAGCAGATGCTGCAGCCCCGGAACGTTGTCGTCATTTATGGCGTGGATGATGGCCTTCATCACAAAGGAGTCCTCCTCATCCTATTTAGTATGTAGGGGGGGAAAAAGAGTTAAGTGACTTTTCTAATTGTTTACACAACAATAACACCTTCTGGATGTCATTCTTCATCACACTCTCAGATATGAATACACAAGGGATAACAGCGCTGTTTGACAGAAAGCAAAAAAAAAAACATGTGGCCCAAGAACCTTAACCTGAAATGTATTTGTAAAGCTTAGAAACTGGCTGTAATGCTCTGCTGCACAAAGATGAGGAGGATGGAGGAGAGAAGGCTAATGTGGCGTTAGTTCAGCCAAGCATGACGCTCCAGCCACATTCCTCGACAGACCCTTCCTGCTGTGCGAGGCGAGACTGCAGCAGCTCGGAAACAAAAACAAGAAGGAGCAGCTCCAGCTTTTTGGGAGGTCTAAACCTTTTTCATATACGTTAGGAAAACATATCTCAATCTTCTGCTTGCCAATAATAATAAAAAATATATATATTTAACTACCAAACCCTAAAATTTCTAGGTTTTAAGTTATCAGTAACTTTATATTCTATACTTCCTTATCAGAAGCTGGAAATAACTGGCTATGAAGCAGCAACTGGAAAACAAAAATTCCTGGTTTGTATCTGGCACAAACACCCCAACCTTGTTTCTATAGGATAAGAAGATGCACTGCTCTGTCTAAATCATGCTCCACTGTCATCCTTTTATGCTTAGGATCCTGCACCAAATAAAAATATGAGAAGAATGTTGATTACCTAAGAGGTAAAAACCACCTAAACAAGCTCATCTCAATAAGTAAGATATCACTGAAGTGCTCAAATAACACATCCTAGATATTAATTAATTAAATATTCTCCTTGAATACTTAAATATTGTGTACCAAGTTGAATGTGCTAACAACAAAATCACATCAAAACTTTCAATGATAATCAAATAAAGTGGAAAAACACACTACAGGCTGATTCAGCTTTGATTTACTATCCTTCAAATGGGTCAAAATGAGGCTCAGTGTTGTGTGTGGCCTGTATGACGGCCCTGCAACACATGGGCATGCTCCTCATGATGTGGAGGGTGGTCTCCTGAGGGATCTCCTCCAATACCTGGACTAAAGCATCCACCAACTCCTGGACAGTCTGTGGTGCAACATAACTTTGGTGGCTGGATGGAGACATGATTTCCCAGATGTGCTCAATCAGATTCAGGTTTGGAGAACAGGCGGGTCAGTCCATAGCTTCAATGCCTTCATCTTGCAGGAACTGCTGACAAACTCCAGCCACATGAGTTGTAGATTTCTCCTGCATTAGGAGGAACCCAGTTTCAACAGCACCACAATATAGTCTCACTAGGGGTCTGTGGTTCTCATCTTGGTACCTAATGGCTGTCATGGTACCTCTGGTGAGCACACGGAGGGCTGTGTGGCCCTCCAAAAAAATGCCACCCACCACCATTACTGATCCAAGCCAATGATGCTGAAGGATGTTGTATGCAGCAGATCACTCTCGATCAATCACACGAGCTCAGTGTGAACCTGTTTTCATCTTTAAGGAGCACAGGACGTAACTGGCGAATTTGCCAATACTGGTGGAAAATACCAAGTGTTCTGCATGGAGTTGGGGTGTGAGCACAACGCCCCATCTGTGGATATCAGGCCCTCATAACATCCTCATGGAGTTGGTTTCTAACTGTATGTGCAGACACATGCATATTTGTGGTCTGCACTCTGGCAGTGCTCCTCCTGTTCCTCCTTGCACAACGGCGAAGGTACCAGTCCTTCTGCTGTTTTGTTAGCCTCCTATGGCCTCCTCCACGTTTCTGGGTGTACGGGCCTGTCTCCTGGTAGTGGTTTGAGGCTTTGGACACTACGATGAAAGACAAAGCATACCTTCTTGCCACAGCTCGCATTGATGTGCTATCCAAGATGAGCTGTGCTACCTGAGCCACTAGTGTGGGTTGTAGAGTCTGCATCATGCTACCATGAGTGTGAAAGGACCACAAATATTCAAAAGTGAGCAAAATATCAGCCAGAAAGCATAGGTACTGAGAAGAGGTCTGTGGTCCCACCTGCAGAACCACTCCTTTATCGAATGTTTCTTGCTAATTGCCAATAATTTCCAACTGTTGTCTAATCCATTTGCACAACAACAGGTGAAATTGATTGTCAATCAATGTTGTTCCCTATATGGACAGATTGATTTCATAGAAGTTTGATTTGATTCAAGTTATATGGTTTTGCTTATGTGTTTCCTTCATTTTTTGAGCAGTGTATAACAGGTTATTATTACAGTCTCTCTCTAATCTTTAATGAAAGACTTCTGACAGGAATTCAACAGGAAGTGACTTACACCATCCAGGATGTCAAAAAGTATAATATCCAACTATACCGATGGAAAGTTGGGTGGAAGAAAAAATTGAGCTAAAAAAAAATAAACAAGTTATTAAGTCAAAACTGGAGCCTTAAGAGGAATGTGAAGCAAAGCGGAGCTTAATCAGAGTACACAGTCTTTTAATGTCTTTACTTTAGTAACTAATATATGTTTGTTAATGATGCCTGTTGGTGCATATGTCTCCTCTTAGTCTGAGGAGAAACTTTACAGCAGATCGTTTATGCTTAAACACACTTCTCTCTGGTGTTTAAGTTCAGTTCTTGACCTTGACCTGTTCAGTCATCAAAGCTAATGATCCTGGGCAGAGCAAATACTACAGCTGCAGTTGAGACTAAACTATAGGGGGCGCTACAATTACAACCACACCACTGTGGGACCTGAGACATAAGGAAGTTTCTGGTCTGGCTTTGGTGTATGGTTAACGTTCTGTAAATAATTAAGCTTCTAACAGCATTATCATTAAAGAGTTAGTGTGATTCTGTCTGTTTACAAACTGACTCATTCATTGAGTCCATATCAGTGGACCCACATTCCTACAAGCTGAACGCTGTGAAAAAGCACTTCCAAGTCCAACAGGTCAACAAACCCATGACCTGCGGCCCTATGGGGGAAATAAGGAGGAGATCAATTATAAGTCAGAGAGTGGAAACACCAGAGCAGGAGGTCTTAATGAGTAAACCCACTTTAACAAAACTAACTTAGTTATCTCATCTTGTTTTAATTTTCCCAGTATAAGCAGTAGGCAGATTGATGAGGATAACAGTAACATATGTTCTGTCACCAGCTGCACAAACACGGAAACTCCAGACTTTGGATAAGGATCTCAGATGTAATGCTGGTAAAAAGCCTGGCCCATCTGACCATGTGCTGTTAGCCACATAAAGGAAGTAGGAGTAAAATCAGAGCTTACCAGCGTGTCATCGCTGCGCGCCACACTCATGTTGCTTCTGGACAGGAAGGAGCGGGACAGGCGGTTACATAAGGAGATGAGTCGGACGGATTGCTGAGGAAGAAAAAAAAAGAGCACTGCCTCATGAGCAAGAACTTTGACAAGTTCATGTCAAGTCATATTGGGGAGAATGCTAACGGCCGGAGAATCAGGCATGGAGATTGATTTTCTGCTCTGTTTGCTGTCTGTTTCTGCTCTGCATAGCCTGGTGACCCACTGCAGAAGTCACTTGGTTTCATCTCCAGACTATGAATTCATGAACTTTATACTTAAGTAGAGACCAGACCTAAAATATACCTGAAGTGTCCAACATTTTTATAACATGAACCAAAACCACCCAGCTAAAAATGCTCAAAGGCTAAGAGAGATATTATGTCCTCTGAGCAAAGAGCTTATTCCTGAACTTTGGCTAAGCTAGTAAAGATCTTTGATTTGCATTTAGAGTTTACATAACAAATTGTAAGGGATGCAGAACCCAACTAGTTAAAAACTGAGCTTGGAATATTAACTTACTAGATTTTTTTCACATTCATATTTTAACACAATGAGGTACTCCTGACCTCTTAGCTCAATTTTCTCTGCAGGCAATGCAGCCCAAATCAGATTTTATTTCCGCCCATATGTGACCTGTTCATAATGAAGTCTGTTTCAACTGCTCCATGTCAAAATTATGACACAGAGAAGTTGGGATTCATCAGTACTTCTCTAAACAGTGTGCTGCTGATGTCTACATTCTACTTCTGCACACATGGCTCGCTTTTGGGCCTGAATCATTCAGACAGAGGTCCAATGGCAGTACCTTATAAATATTACAAATGACCATGCAAAATACAAATATCAGATTTCAGCATCAGGACCTGCTGTGTGACATCGGATAATGGATGCAAATAAGAAAATAATAAAGGCATAACAGCTTTGTTTTAAAACTGGGTTGCACTGTTTTTCACTGGATGTGTAAGCATCGGATCTCTTTAGGTTTTATGAGGCAGCAGGCTGGCATTTTAACATTGAATGTGAACATAGTTATTTCATTATCTGTGAGTTTATACATTTTAAATAGTTGATGTTACACCTGATTATACTAATCAAGTATAAGGACCTTTATAATCATGTTATATAGCTTGAAATGTAGTTAATAGGATACCTACCTTTAAAATGTAGGTATTTGCAAAGCCAAACTAGATAAACTGCCCAAGCAGGAGAGAGATAAATACAACAGGAATGAAAAAAATGGATAAGAAATTTATTGAATCCAGTCTTGATGTTTTGTTGATTCTGTTTCTGGGAATCAAAACAGGCAAGCAGATGATAAGCTGAGCCAACAGCAAACAGGGCCTTCATCAGCTTTAATCTAAGAGTTTTTTTAAGCAGGAGGGGGAGCCCACTGATCCCACATGGTTTTTGTGTGATTTGAACAGCACAAAGGACTGAATGACTCACCTTCCACTTTCTTCGAGCTGCAAACTTTTTAAACTTCTCCATATTGACTGCTGACTCCTTCCTGCTCAGCGCTTGCTGAGTGTCTTTTGGCTGATTTGAAAATTCAATATTAGCTTATTAGAAAAATATACACTTTTTTATGTTTTCAATAGTTTTAAATGAAAGATTATCTAAGGAAAAGCAGGTTCCAACCTTGATCCATGGATGCTGGAGGGTGTCCTGAATGGTCATTCTCTTTCTGGGTAAAGAGAAATCAAAGAGATAAAATAAAGGCAGTGTTAGGGGAAAGTGTTTCCAAATACAAATATAAAAAGAATGCATTTTTAACCACGTAATATTCTTTTCATTTCAAGAGAGGAGATTTAACCATCATCCATGGAATGGACATAAACCTGAGGGTCCTCTACCTTTACCATGACCGGGTATTTTAAAAGTCATTTTCTATTTCTTCTCTTAACTCGGGTTTTATAAAAACATGTACGGTAATCAAATCATTATTTTCAATATCTACTTTATTTTTATTTTTTTAATCAACCAACCTGTCTAGAACTTAAAATTCCTAAATTCACAGTCAAATTCTGCTATAAATGAAATGGGACACAGAGGCCTTTTGAGGTTAACCACTCATCAAAAGTAGTGTTGCGCCGATGCCATTTTTTGGCCCCATAACGATACCCGATACCCCTGCTGTGCAGTATCGGCCGATACCGATACCATGCCGATGCCATCTGTTTTAAATTGATGTGTGTGTGTGTGTATATATATAAAGAAGTGCACACTACTTGAATGTAAAATAATTACTATCATGGCTTTTTCAAGCTGCTGCCTACCTTTGTGAAGCAGGAAAAAAACGAATACAAAGTGAATACAGTAGAACTTTTTATTGCCTACCTGGAATGGGTGAGAATGGTCGAGTAAACTTTTCGCTCTCAAAATGGTATTCGTGCCCTATTTGTTGGTACTCGCTGATACTGATAACACAGTGCTGGATAGAGGTGAGTATTGGCATGAGTGTTGCGATTCGATACATGTCGCGATACTTGGGTCATGATACGATATTATCACGATATTGCAGTATCACTATATATTGTCATATTTTCCCCAGCTATCAAAATCAAATGATGAGATAAAACAGCAAGCGCTGTATATTTTCATCAGAAAATATTGATTAGGTATTGTTATCCATGTTGTTTGGGGTTTTCTTTCACTGTGACTGCCTCAAATACAGATTTGGTGCTGCACGCACAGTTAAAGGGCTCCACAGCGCTTTCTGCCAGAGTGGTGGTGCAGAGGTAGCCCATTTTCCCATCAATGTTTTATGTAACCTTTTTTTTTTTTGAAAATCGATACTAAGAAGTTAAAGATTGATATTATATTGGGCAGCCGAATATCACTATATCGCCAAAACGATTATTTCCCACACCCCTAGTGCTGGATTGGGGATCTGCCAGATACTGGTATCGGTGCAATACTAATCAAAACGGGAAATACTGAGAGCATATTCAAATGAGGAGGATGAGCCATCAATCACCTCAAGACAGCTAATGGTTTAATGTAAATAGGTTCTTGCCTAAACCTGCCAAAATCTACATAAAAGCGAAAATAAAAACACCTATAAACAACTTAAACTTTGAAAAACCAGTCAGGATGAAGGATGAATTTCTACCTCTGGGTGACCCCAAAGGAAAGTGGTGTTTTGGGGCCCGTGGGTTGCTTAACTACCCAGAAAAAACCAAATCTTTTGTACACCACAGCCAGCGACTGCCATAATTACCACTCACACTGGAAGAAACATTTCGGCCAATAATGTCACTTGATCTCATGCTACTCAATGCAGATGCTCTGTCTGCACCAAGGAAGATCAGATCACCTTTGTAACACAAGGTGTTGCCAACAGAAGGACAATACAAACCAATGACTACATGATTCAGCTGATAACCATGTGACCACCAGGGGGTGCTGATAGTTTATTAAATAGTAGGGATGCATGAATATGGATACGAATATGGTTCTAGGCAAAGGCCAGCAGGTTTGAGTGCCTCTGTAGAGCTAGGCATGGTGCCTGTTCTAAAAACAAATACATTATATCTAATCATCTTATTCCAAGGACAAACATTTTCATTTTTTTGGCAGATCTTATTTACAGCTCAAATTGATGGAAAATACACTTATTTCACAAAAAGCTTTTAGTTTACGATCAGTTTTTGCAGTGTATTACTAAATCAGTAGGCCTGGGCGATTACATCGTCATGATTAATGATTATGAGGAATTTCAGGTCTATTACGGTGATCAACAGTGCATGTTGATCACAAATGCCCAGTTTACGATCCAAATATAATCCAGTAGCGGTAATGCAACATTACAAACGCAACCCACCATAATATACCTATGAAGAAGAACAAGGCCATGTGGGTGACAGCCACTTTGAGTCTACCTTTTTCTTTGGTGTTGCTGTTTATGCTGTCGGAGTGGAGATGCAATAATAATGAGCAATCCTGAAGCTAAGGCTGGAAACTGTTGCCTGTCAAGATTTGTAGATATGCCGAGATGAGGCCATTTTTGTTAGAGGAGAAAAGCAATCACACAAGCAATTGATTCTTGTCTAGCAAAGGATATGCTGCCATTACACGTCTGGAAGAGACAAATTTATTACAGTTTTCATAATAGTTGCTCCAAAACTGAAGTTTCAAAACAAACTGTGATCAAAATATTAGGTTGAGGTTCAGAAAATTATCGCCCAGCCCTAGATAAAATGTGATGACAGAAGAGGCAGTAACTGATTCGTCTCTTGAACCAATTTAATATTTAGGCTTAACAGTTTATTAAAACAATTATTTCAAAATTAAAGTCAGCTTTAAGCTTCAGCTGCACTAAAACATAATTACATTTTTCTTCTTTTAGATCACAAGTGTGCAACCTGGGCTTTGTGGCCCACTTGATATACTAAATGACCCTTAAACTTGTTTTTTTTTTTTTTTTTCTCTATGCCAAATGAAAAACACCTTTTCTAGAACTGCCACTCATAATCGATATTTACTGGTATGGTATCGTAGATACAGCAATTCCCTTCTGACACCATGAAAAACAGACCACAGTGCTAATGCTTCTTCTCTGCTTTGGATAAACACCCACAATCCTTTGCTACATTACCATCACTGTCACATGATCAAACAAACACCACATGACCAACCCTTCCCTCTTCCTGAAATAAAAACCAAAACTGGGCAGCAATATCTCAGCCCAGTTTTACTTATCAGACCGATATGTTTCCAAATGAAAAACACTGGCAGATAGTGATGTTACTGCTGATATGTTCTACATCCTCTAATAATAAGAAATGGCAGCCGATGTGTGGGTCACTGATAAATGTTCCTTTAAATAAATAAGCACATCATTTAAAATTTCTATATAGTTTTTACAAGTTATGTTAAATTATCAGACAAAATATCATACAAAAACCTTTAAAACAAAACAGGAGAAAACACACAGAGATTTGCAAGAAGTGATCCTTTCTCCACACCACTATATATTCACTTATAAGAAAATTGTTTAGTCTAGACTCTAGAGCTACTCAGAACATCATGAGACACTGTAATAGGCCTGCCATTATCTTTAAAATGTTCTTTATCAATCTCCCTTCTTGCATAGATGAGTCATGTCTGCTCATGATGCAGACCAATTCAAATTACTTCCACTGAGCTGACCTCAGCTGGTGAATCCAAAAGCCACATTAGATTGTCTCTTGTTTTACCCAGCGTGACTTTAGCAGCTAGTAGCCATTCCCAAATCTCTATTTTCTTCCTTAACTCCAAGACATGAAATTACCCCCATATCTACACTTATCAACCTTTTATAAACTCCTTCCTCTTGGTTCATTACACCTCAGGGAAGAAAAGGATTCATTTAAGGAAAGAAAAGGGTTTGATGACATTTACTGTCTCTAAGTGCAGCTATAGCCATTGAACTGTTGCTGGAGCAACTCTAATGAGGGCAAAACACAGTCTGAACAATTTGAGGAGCCCATGCCAAAGGACATTTTGCGCACAATGCCCCAAACTCCCCCAAACAAGTTTTAAACAGGATTTAAAACGTCCTGGTATTTAAAATTCTTTGAGTTGCAATGGACTCTAATAACGTTGTCAAAGACCTTTGCATGAGAAACGGGCCCAAAGCCTCACAGGTCCTCCACCATACTCAACAGTGAGAATGGGGACCTCTATTAGACGTCTGTGGTGCACATATACAAAATATTGGACCTTTCACCTTTAAGACCTTCTTTAGTTTAAAAAGCACTCACTGCCCTTTTAGGTCCAAATATATTATTATTTCATCACAACCAGGCGTTAATCTGGAATCTCCCAATATTTAAGTCTTCACAAACTCACCACGTAGTGTAAATTAAGAGATTATAGTCCAATTGCTATCCAAAGTATCCTAAATATCTCATTTTGGTGAGAAGTTTCTAGCGTTTTAAAACAATATATCATCTGTGGTAACTTTAAACTGGTTAATATGCATTTTTTATTACAGTAGTAGCTATTCAAAATTTCCCCACTTTCCTTGATGGCTCCTCGGCTGCTCCTCCCACAATTCCTTTTTAAAAATCAATCTTTGTACTAAAATATTATTTCTCTCATGATTTGTGGACATTAAGATCTAAAGAGAAGTGTTATCTCCTGGTCAGACCCTGTAATTCAGTGAAATGGTGAAGTCAGAGTAAAAAAATATGCACATCCATGAGAAGGTCAGTGGCTGGAAGTTGGTGGGATTTTGCTGCCATTCGGTTTGCTTTTAACTAGAAAGGGCCATGTTGAATGGCTGCTACTGCACCATAATTATTACATGAAGGGAAATTTTGGATTAAAGAGATAACGTCTAAAAGAAAAATAGAGGCCCTCATATCATATTTTATATGCGTGTGATCGATTGTAGAGATGTCAGCCTCTATTGTCTGAAGAACAATGAAAAGAAACAAATCTGTTTTTAATCACTAATGAATAAGTGTGATGGAACCCCAGGTTAACCTCTGATTGGCTGATCAGCACATCCCGCTTCCTCCTTTCACAGAAGATGTTATGCAGGAGAAAAAATTAATAAATACAACCCTTGGGTCTTCATAATAAACCCTGTTCATATTCCAAAGCATGAAACATCCAATGACCTGCTGCAGTATCTCTAGCTGCCTAGTTGTGAGGGACTTCAACACACACACAAAAAAATAACAGAATATACCACCATCAGAGCCACTCTTGGCACTCTATCAGCTCTTGAAGCTGTTCTACTGATGAAAGCTTAGGGATCAAAGGAGAGTCTAAGACATACATTTCTCCCATTTCTTTTTCTTGTTTCTCCCCCATTGAATTTTAATTAATTATTAAAATTTGTAGCTGATCTGTTAAACCTCGGTATTTAAAATGTGAGACGCCAGACCCTTACTAACTCTTAGAATTTATCTTGTTTTATTAGCAGTTTGAAACCTAAAATTTAAGCCTTAGTTATAAAATTACAATGCTATCCGCAGAAACCTTACATTAATTTCGTATATGAGAAACTGATAAAAAAAACAACTATTGCTTCTTTCATATCCTAAAAGTTATTTTGAAAAAGATTGTATTATTCTAAATTTTAAAGAGAGAATACTATCTTAGTGAAATAGATTCTCATGTGAAGGTTTTTTTTTAATACATCTGTGTGTAAAAAGCCTTTTAATAAAAAACTTTAATGTACCAACATATTTCTCTACGTCTTTTGAATTGAAAGAAAAAAACGTGAAAGAAAAGTTCAACATACTTTGGATCTTTGATAAGAAGCCTTTTTATGAAGTCTTTGGCCAGAGTGCTTGTGTTGCTGAAGAACTCTTCATCAAAAGTGTAGTCCACGGCCGACACGTTGGCCAGGGTCTCCTGCTTATTGTCACCCAGGAAGGGGGAGGCGCCACTCAGACTGCATGAAGGAAAACAAATGGAGTGAACTTCAAACTGTTTAAAGAAAGTGCATTCAAAAGAAAAAGAACCAAATAAAAGGGTAAGTTTGCAATCTGCTCAACATCTTGACAATTTACAACCTCATCCACTTTAACAGTGGCATGTGTCTTCTTTTCCTTCTCTTAATCTGAATTGGTCTCATAATCAAAGAAGCAGGATCACAGGAACTTCATCCAAACTCTTATTCATCTAATCACCACTCAACTGCTGATAAGATTTGCTCCTTCAAGCAGAGATTAAGGCCGTCCTGCTCTTTGATGAGGGAATGGTATTACCGAGCTGAGTAGCAGCTAATGGTGACTCATAAATCCTGCTTTGCTATGAGACTCAACTATTTAGGCAGTGCTAGTTGCAGGAAAGCCAGCTGGAAAGCTGAATTTTGGGTAGATTCCAGAAAACTTCAAGCACCTTTTATGCCAACGTGCTGATTTTACAAATGACATACAAGCAGATGCAGCAAATTAACGACGCACATGCAAGCAGAGGCTTTAACATGTTAACCAACAATTTCTCCAGAGAAATGAAGGACTCAGCAGAGCAGAGGGCACCTGTGTGTGATCCATGAATCAACTAAAGTTATTTATGGTTACATTACCTAAACCCTGCTCACCCTCTGAAATCCTGTGAATCTGAAGAGCCCAGCTCGCTGTTTTACAGCTATCCGAACCGACACTGTGAGATCTATTTTCCACACTCCCTGACAGAGCTGTGATAGTTGTGTGGGCTGACAGCGTGCAAGCAGTAAGTACATGAGTGTGCAAATATTTGTGTATGTTTTCTAATGAGATAATGCAAGGACACAGATTATTTAAATAGAGGGAAGCTGTTTTTATAGAGTAAAAGCATGCACTTAAATTAATGATCGGTTACGTATGCATTTTGTTGACTTAATATTTTTGTGTTTACATTTTTTTTTACATCCGTCACTCCAATTGATGTGTGGAAATAAATTAGGAGAGATGGCACCATGATGGGCCCGCAGCGGTGGATTGGTTTGGTTGCTGGTGGGCAGGACCTTTTCCTCTGCTGCTGAATTAATCTGTGCTGACAGATCTTTGCAGGCAAAACTGAAAATAGCCACTGCAGCAATGATAGATTGCAGATGTAGCAGTTGGGGCTGGTCATTTGGAGGATTTTCAGCTCAGGATACAGTTGTGATAAAGTTTAGCTAGTTTAGGGCCCTGTGACTGCATGGCTGTGTCACAGAGGCATGGCTTCAAAAGGAAAAAACAGACAACCTTTACCCAGTGACACAAGCTCAGTCTGAGGAATTCCAAGGAGTTTTCCCTGGCCAGAATGAATAAAAGTCCCTTCAATGAAAGCTGGGTCTCCATTAAGGAAAAAAAAAAAGGTAGCGTTCTTAAAGGAAGCCTAAATCTAAGCTAAAACCATTCAGAGATGAGGAGCCCTACTCCAGCTGCTCGGACTCCTCAACCTTCAGGTCAGCAACCAATACAATCCAAACAGCCATCCAACTGGGAAAAACGGATTTACACGCAAATGTTACAAGACCTTTTATAATTTTAAAGTAAAGAAAAAAAAGTTATTTTTATTGAATGGATGTATTGATTTTCTATTATGGGTGTTAGTATTTGTGGAAAACAATCTAGGAAATAAAAGCTAATTTTTTATTTAATGTCAGTTAGTTGAAAAACAATAATTGTCATATTTGTCATAGATGAATAACGATAGTTCAGTGGGGTAAACAGACGTACAGAGAAGTTCAAACCCCATCAACACCTCCTCTCTCTGCAAATCTCACAAATTCTAAACTTCCACCATAAAACGGGCGAATTCAAAAGAAGAGCCGAATTGATGTAAACTCGGGGATGTTGCCTTATTTGGTTCTGGCCTGTACTTTTGTCACGCCCCGAATTTGACATACAGACCAGCCCACTGGTTCACTGGCCCAATAACATGAATAGAGGTAGATGTAAGACACCAGTTTAGCTGTTTAGCCTACAGTTGGGTTAACTTCTACAAGAATTACAAAGCAGGCAGTTCCTCTATTGAAAATGAGACGGGCGGAAATGCAGTGTTCCAGGCTGCACTGAGAAAGGGGAACAGTTTCAGTCTTCCCAAGAATCCAAATACTCGACAGGCATGGATTATTTTTGTTTATCAGAAGATCCCTGCAAAGTTTGATGCTCAGCTGTTCATTTGCTCTAAGCACTTTACTGATGATAGCTTTCAAAATATTGGACAGTTCAAAGCAGGATTTGCTAAACTTCATTTACTGAAACGAGGGGATGTTCCAACTGTAAGGCCATCACAACCACAAGCTCTATGTATTATTCTGTCGCTAAGCTGTTGATAGCAATATTAGCATATCTATCTATTCATTTCCACATCTGGTCTGTCTTGGTTGGGCAGAAATCTATTCCAAAGTTTACTGATTTTCAACTAGAACCAGAGCTAAAGTATGTTCCTGCTTTTCTACATAAATAATAACAGTTTAATTTTTTTTCCCTTTCTTTCTTCCCAATGCTTTGAGAGGTAACTTTATACATATCAACAGAACAAAGAATAAACTTAAAGCTGAACCAATGGAACTAATATTTGTACATTAAAAATAATCATTGAGAATAACAAATTAATAAAACTGATGGACTAATACTTACAGAATGTATGTTATAACCCCGATACTCCTGAAAAGATGAAGAAATAAAAGTGTCAGTCTTGACCATTTAATCTGTTTTAAAGTGGGAACATTGACAGGAGCTGAAACATCACAATCACATCCTGCTTGTTATCAGACGACGGTTCATTTACTCACCACATGTCTGCCTCCAGGCCTAAAGGTTCATAGTTGACTACTTCTGGAGCTGGGAACCAAAACAGAAGCTTTTTTAGCTTCAAATCAACATTTAATTCTTACTTTACATATTTAGACACTTTACTGTAGTCTCTGTAGTAGGAAATGAATTTTCTTCAACGTTTTTGCTGCTGTTCGCTAATAAATCATTTATTTGAAGTCTGAGCCTTTTCCAACTGAACCTGTGAGAGGTGTGAATATGTGGCTTTTTATCATCTCTTCACACATTCTCAGGAGCGTGAAAAATATCAGATTCACTAGTTTTTTACAGATATAAAACACAAAAGCTATAAAGGACAAATTCAGGATGAAATATGATGTGAATCATAACATTAAAGCTAATTGTTCTGAGATATTCTTCAGATTAACCAATGAAATATCTGCAAACATCTAAATCTATAAAAATGTTATAAACTCACACATGAAGTCTATACAGTCTACAGTTTCAGTTATATTTTGACACAAGTTTAACAGTAAATCCCTTCAAATCTGGTGAAAAATATTAGAATTTTCTGTCCAGACTTATGATTTTTTTTTTCCTAAAGTTTAATGCTTTCAGATATTCTTCATGTCTTGATGTTGGGATTGTTTAGATCGTTTTGATGAAAATGCAGCAATTATCCATTACAGGGTGTTACGGCCTCTCTTCTGTTTTGCTAAATAGGACATCTTGCAGTAATTACCTTATGTTGATATTACAGCAGCATGCACCTGTCCCCTTTAGCATGAGCCCCTCAAAGAAACATCTAAGCTCACAAATGTTTGCTTAACCTCTCCTGCTTATTTTACACAGTTTTTGTTCTTGGCTGCACCTGCTGTAGAGGCAACTCAGAGGATGAAAAAGTTGGCAGCTGCCCCATGCAAAGGGCAGATGGCACTGCCTGTGTCTAGGAGTGTCCATGTTATGCCAAAGAGGGACATTTCTCATAATCTGCAGTCTATTATCAGCTTTTTCTCACTTTGTTCCTTTGGTGCAGTCAGCAGCCGTTAGTACAGTGTATAAACCCCTGGGACGAAGCCAGGAAAACAGGGCGGTGCACAGAGTGTGCAGTGGTGCATGTGGATAGAAACCTTAGGGCAAACTCATTACAGCATCCAGCAGGTCTGAAAACAGAAGAGCCACACTTACCTACGAACTCAGGAGTCCCAAAAATGTTTTTAAAATCATTTCCAAAGTCTATCTTGTGTGCCAGTCCAAAGTCGATGAGCTTGATGCGCGGGTGAGGCACTGAACGGTTCAGCAGCATGATGTTCTCCGGCTGCAGCAAAGACAGAAACAAACAAAGGAGACGAGTCAGAGTGGAAAAGTAGACAGTCATTTGGCCACGCGAATCCAACAGGGAGATAAGAGTCCATGACTCAACCGGTAACCCAGGAACAGTCCAACAGGAAGGAGGCCCAGCAGGCACGGAAATGTCATGCAAAACTAACTCCTTTCTAGGAACTGAGAGGGGTTCCAAATAATGCAAAACAGACATTGTGACTATGGTTTAAAAATTACCATAACAAGGTCAATTTAGAAATTTTACTAGATGAAAAAAGGAGAACTGGTTGGATGAATGGATATTAGGATTTTAATAGAATCATACACAAAAAAATACATCTTTATTGTAATTTCATTTCAGTTTAAGCTTGAAGTAGTTAATTTAGTAAACAAATACTTTTAAAATGCATTTGTAGCAAATAAGAAAGAATTTAAATGAAAACTGAAAGAGTTTATTCTGATTCCACTAAACAATAAAGGAGCTGATGAGAGACGCTCAACTAAACCGATGAACTCCTAACCGTAAACAACAGCTGATGGTTCCCAACTAGATGCTACAGCCATCAATAAAAGCTTTATCATTGATCAGAAAAGCTGGTTGGAAACAGAGGCTGCCTCAGTCTGCAACCGAACGTGTGCTGGAGCCTCATGTATGCTTTGAGGCGACCGGATTTTCCACCAGATAGGCTGACATAAGAGGAAAACTGATTATTAATCTCTGCTGCTAATGTTCATCCAACTGTTACAACAGTACACAAATACAGGAAACAAAACAGGGACAAAGTATTATGGAAGAAGGCTGGGTTTTCTGTTTGGGGCACAATTTGGCCTTTAACAGTTTCCATCCTGGGAGTTCAGACCATCCAACTTAATAACAAACAGCAGATGAGTCACAGTACCAAGACGAGCAATGACAGCAGCAAAGCAGCTGTAAAGATAATCTATTTAATTAAACTAGTCATCTTTTGGAAGCTACCTGATAAAAAGGAGGCAAATTTATTCACATTTTAGCCTAAATTGAAGAGATTAGAACATTTTTGACGAATAAGGGAAATATGAGAAACCTTTTCATACCAAAAAAAAGACAACCGTCCTTTGGAAAATCTGTCCATCTGCTTTAATGATACGACTCTTTTCATCATTTACTCTTTATCCTTCAATTCCCCTTAGTTTTTAGTTCAGGACTGTTTAAACCAATTTTTTTTCTGCCTATACAGAAGGCTTGACAAAATATAAGTATGGTTTATAATGTAAAGAGGGGTTTTAAACTGAGACTTTATTAAACGATGTAGAAAACTACATTGAAAAGAAATTTAAAGGCTTTTCTTTTATATTGCAAATTAAGTACAGAACACCAGTTCAACTGAATGCAGCATGAAACTGTGCAGTAACAAGCAAGATAAGCTTATCTATATTATTCAAATAGACAACAGAATAAAGGCATTTTTTTATCTTGTGATTCAGATCAAGAAATTATAAACGGTGAAACAAGTGAACAAAAAATATGTCTTGAATTGACTGAGAAATGTTTCTGGATGCAACAAAAAATATAAATGTTTAAAGCAACAAAGTAGATTCAAGATGGCCAATTCCAATCATTTTTAAATCAAAATTCTCATCGATTTGTTGTGAAACAGATCATTCTTGGTTGATGTGCATCAGAAACTGTTTTTGTTTTGGCGATACCTTAAGGTCAAAGTGAGCAATCTGTTTGGAGTGCAGGTAGAGGACTCCATCCAGGATCTGTTTGAGGAACTGAGTGGCCTCCTCTTCACTCAAAGACTCCTTTTCTGCCAGAAAGTCAAACAGCTCGCCGCCAGCAACACTGTTAGAAAAACAAAAGAGAAGAACGATGAGGGTTAGGGATGAAGCGCAGAAATCTTTCAGATCAGAGGAGGCTGAAAAGCCCTGATGAACAGAGCTGAGATGGAGGTATCCAGTAACCCTGATACCTCCCAGTCTGAATGATTTAATACTCTCGCAGTGGGAATGAACCCAGTTCTGCTCAGTTTAAAACAGTTTAAATAAGCTTTTTTCAATCCATTTAGACCCTTAATGAAAAAGAGGAGAAAATAAACTTTCAGCTCTGATTCATGTCTTATTCATACCGGTAAGTCAATTTTTTCAGACTCAAATTTCCAAAGTTCTTTATTCTTTTCATATAATTATTCAAATATTTTAAGAATTCATTAAGAATTAATTTATATTAGATATTTCAGCCAGCTTCAAAACTGATCAAGCAAACATTTTATGCAGTGTTGAACCAATGCCATTTTTTGGCCATGACACCCGATACCTGGCTTTGCAATATCGGCCGATACCGATACAATCTGTTTGAAATTGACGTGTGAGTATATATGAAGAACTCCATACTACTTGGATGTAAAATAATTGCCATCATGGCTTTGTCAAGCTGCTGCCTACCTTTGTGAAGCAGAAAAACGACTAATACAAAGTGAATCCAGCAGAACTTTGTATTGCCTACATGGAATTGGTGACAATGGTTGAATAAACTGGTCTCGGTGCAACACTAATTTAAAGTGAGTGAGTGAGTGAGTGAGTGAGTGAGTGAGTGAGTGAGTGAGTGAGTGAGTGAGTGAGTGAGTGAGTGAGTGAGTGAGTGAGTGAGTGAGTGAGTGAGTGAGTGAGTGAGTGAGTGAGTGAAGGAAGGAAGGAAGGAAGGAAGGAAGGAAGGAAGGAAGGAAGGAAGGAAGGAAGGAAGGAAGGAAGGAAGGAAGGAAGGAAGGAAGGAAGGAAGGAAGGAAGGAATCCTAAATTAAGGTATTTTATCATTTCTTATTTAACTTTATATTTATTATTTTTGGTCAATATTATACCATTCCGATATGGATATAAACTAAAATGAAAACAACAAACTATAAAAGTATTTTGCCATGTTTATAAACCTCCTCTAACACAACATTTTAGAAATATTCGCTTAACAAAAAAAAAAAAACAACAATATATAAAACTACATAAAACCAACCAGCATCTGTCACCTGAGTCAGTGACAGATGCTGGAATCACCCACCATGTTGTATACTCAACTATCAGTCATGTTCTATCAGTTATTGAATACATTTATATTGCGATGTATTGATATTGAATCATTGTGACCTCAACACCAATAATCAACTCTACTCCATAACCAGGGATTAGTCAATAAACCGATGGAAAGGTTCAGGACATCTATATCATTACTGGTATTCATAGCTGCTAATGGTAGCAATAGCAGACAGGAGGGCAGGGCATTTATCACGGTTACCGCATCTTGATAACATGAGGCCAAGCGTGCAGCGAGGGGGAGCGTGACAGAGAAAGTAGAAGTGAGAGCACGAGCAGAAAACCAATTAAAATAAGCTCTTCACACTTCCACCCTCACTGACGGGTCTTTGACACTTTATGTCAGCAAAAGAACAAAGCCCAGAGTAACTGTGGTAAGTAAGCAGCAAATTAGCAGTCAGTAATTGTTATGATTTAAAACAAATGAAAACCCTTTAGATGCTGCAGATGAATTATCATCTACTAATCTGGTTTCTATTTTGCAAAATGAAAAACAAAACAACAAATGAATCACACACTCACACTTCCCCCGACCCTCTCTAGGAGACCGCACCCCACCAGCTGAGCTCAGAGGCTACACCCTCCCTGTTTGACAGAGTTCAAACAGGGTTTTAAAGACGGGGAGGAAACCTGTACATCTCAATACGTTTTAGGGTGTTGGTTGTTTTTTATTTAGAAGGAAACTGAAGACAAACCAAGATAAACCCTCCAGTAAATATCTCAATAACATTTATTAAGAGGGATTCACATTTGTTTCCCGTAACTCTAAAGTGACCCAGTACTGCAATGTTTTGTGCACAAAGTTACAGCATATCCTATAGACCCAAAACCATACAGAATGAGGAGTGATGGCACCAGAATCAAACACTCAGTTTCACAGCTTAACAATAACGACATGTTGGGTTTTTAAAAGCAAATATAATGTGTACCTGAAGTACAGATATTTTAACTTTGGTTAATTAAACAGAAACTTGACATCCTTTATATTAAAATCTATGAAGGAAATGTTTTAAGTCTCATGCATTCCTGCATTCCTCCCACCTCCAATGCACTGAATCTCCCCACAATATTATGTTTATTCAGGTCGTCTTTTTCAAAGCAACACATTGTTGGCTAAACGGCTGCAGAACGGTTGGAATTAGGGTTGCCAACTCTATGAAAATTAAATAAGTGACAGTCCTTGGCCAGGCACAGTCTTCAACCTCACAGACAATGTCTCATTTCTACCTTTTCTTGTGTGTGTGAAACTGATTTTGTAAATATTTAAACGGAACCAAAATAAGATGAGAGATTTTGTTGGGGTTTTATAATACAGGATTGGTAACTTTTAAAAAAAAAAATAGACAGTTGGCAAACCTAGGTGAAATACAGGCCTGGGGGAGCAGGTTGTAGGGGACCAAAATGTCCTGATTAGTATCCCACTCTGGTCCCCAGCCTGCTGTCGCCTGGGGGATGGCCAATGCTGACAGGACACATTACAATCTAAATTAATGCCCCAATCAGGGTCCAACTCACAGTGATAGAAGCTGATAAATAATAGGTCTTAATGATAAAGGCTCTTAAAAATACAAGTATCATCTCATGTTCCAAACGGTCAGTTAACTGCTTTGCTTTAAAGTTCATTATATAGCCCCCGCTGTATGTGGACACAGTAACCTTGTATGAGAACAGCACATTTTAAACAGGGCGTGCACGAGGAGAAATGGGCTCGTGCAGTCTCTTGCACAAGCCTATTATTTTTTTTTTTTAAGTGGAGAGGGCGGGTCTTTTAAAAAATCCTCCACAATACCTTTAACCACAATCATTACCACAATTGTCAGCAATGGTATCACAAAACAAGCTGTTATTATGTAGGAAATTTAGCCACAACATCTAAAAATAACTTCTTAGTTTTTTATTTTTCAAAACAATCATTTCTAAACGGCTTAATGCTTCTTTAAAATAAACGTAACAGTAATTGACACAAAGCATTTCATCTGTTACAGCGTGTTTCTTTTAGGCTGCCTCATTACTGCTGCCTGTGAGGTGAACAACATTTTCCAAAGAAGTGTGTCAAATGAATACCTGTGGAGCACAACTGATCCAACGCTGTTTGAAGTGGCGTGTGGGCTAGTCAAACTGGTCTGACTGGTGTTTGGAACAAAAGAGCCTCGTGCCATACACCACATCTAACGCATCACAGGCTCAAAATTTTACATCTCAATCAACGCAAGGATACAACAAGTTAATATACTTTTGTGATCATACGTATTTTTTTGTTATGAAACTAAAGCCAAACAGTGATTTTCTTTTGTTTTTTACTCAAAAGAGTCTCGCACATTAAGTCAACTAAACAGATTACAGGAGGTTCTACTTAGCCTGTAAAAACAGATCTAAGTGGAGATAAACACAGCCTCTTCCTCCAATGCTGAGCGCACAGGCAGATGAGTTTGGTGCTAAGTCAATCAGCAAGAGATAATCTGTGAATTTACCCTCTATTGGACCTGAATGTTAATCTATGTGATTAATATTGAGAAAAAAAAAAGTTGCATTAGAATGCATTACAAATGCATCTTCTACCTCCATCCTAAAAACACGCTTTTATGATGAGCACAAAAAAGGTTTACTCAGGTCATTCTTTTTGTGAAACAGATTATAAAATGGATCAAAATAGGCCAAAATTTGAATTGTCAGCTGAAACTCAAAGCAGGGGTCTGCAGCTAAATCTTTAAGTGTCTCTGTCTTGCTGTGAGGTGCTCCATCAAAGCTGAGTCTAAGGGGTCCCCTCTAGGGGTTTTCACACAGTTTTCCATTCGAAGGAGGTTTGTTGGAGCAGGAGGGCATCCAAATGTTACGGGACATCAATCATTTGCTTCAATCAAATCTAATTTTTATTTCTCTGGCAAATTTTTGCATTTCTGCTGCTTGGAGACAGGCATTTCCTTCACATGAGCTGTAACAGGAATAAAAGCTGACCATGACTTGGATATGAGATGTAAATCTAAATTGGAAAATATTTTCATTAATAACACACAGCCATCTGACACAGACGGCTGTTTAGGAGTCATTGTTTTGCTGGATGTACTGTAGCTGTGCAGGTCGATGTAATCTACAGTTCAAGTTACACGACAGGTTCTCTTAGTTTCAAAACCTGACGACCAAACTCAACCAGCAAAGCTAGTTAACAAACAGGGAAGAAAGGGTCCATCAGTGCAGATTGAGCCACATGACATCACTATGCACTAATTGGCAGGATTTCCTTTAAAGCGTCTCACAGATATTTGCTGGTGTCAAATTTTTTATGCTCTGCATCTCCCCGTCTACACAGGTTCAGTATGTTTCCCTGTGTTAGTCGGTTTCAATGCACAAAACTAATTCATGGATGTGTTGTTACCGACGTCTGGGGAAAACATTCAGCTTTATAGAAAAACTGAGGATAAATTCAGTCCTCATTTTACGCATTAAAAGTCCAACAGATTGCAAAAGAAATGGCTTAATTTTGAGACTGGTTTAAGGTTTGCGCTACCCGAGGGAAATAGATAAGTTTTAAAATGTGTTAGTTTTTTCTACAGGACAGAGGAAAAACAAATAGAAGCTCTTGGGGATTTAAAAGCAGTTGAAATAGAAGCAGCTACTCACAGTTCCAGGATCAGGATGACCTCAGCTTTGTTCTCAAAGACTTCTTGCAGGGTGATGATGTTCGGGTGCTGGATCTCCTTCAGGATGTTTACCTCTCGCTCGATGTCTTCCCTTGTCACCCCGCGGCGACTTGATTTGTTGCGTCGCTTCTTGATGAATTTGGCTGCGTACTCCACACCTGTTCTCCTGTGCCGACATCTTCTGACCACGGCAAACTGACCGCTGCAATCAGAAACGGTACTTTTAGGTCCAAAGATCCATTAAAAGGCAATTACATTTATTTGAGTAGTAAAATCAAACAATAATAAAAACTAAATGTTTAAGTCATAGGGAACGGACCAAATGAAACGGAGAAAATAAAAACTTGACGGTAGTTTTTTTAGCAGGGTAGTCGGATAGAAAAAAACAGTAATAAAGTGAACGCATAAATCAGTTGTAAGGAGACTCAATAACAAAATACTCAGTGTTTAAAATGCTGACTAAAAGCATAATACAAAGATAATATGAGAGTTTCAGGGTGCTTCCTTCCTTCAGATATACCAGCCAAAGGGAGTGGGAGGCAAAAATAGGCACTGGAAGTGTTGATCAGAAACAGATTTAATTAATAAGTGGTGGATGAATCATGGTGCATGCCGTCTGGTAGCAGAGAGTCCACCAAATGGTAAAACATGCCATTAATATCAATTCAGATTAACATTAGGATGATTTCAGGCAAACCAGGAAAGATGTTTTCTACTTCCATTTACCAGGCAAGCCTCACCCTACAAGTGAAAAATGTCTGGCATGCCTGGATTATGTCTCATACATGGACTCATATTTCGCTGCAGTAATTTCTCCAAGTAAACCAAATTTAACTTCATTTGTAGAAGTTCAGAAGCCTTTGGTGAAGGTTCCAAAAACTCAACCTTTCAAGACCCGATAAGAAAAGCCGACAGCTGGACGTCAAGTCACTGATAAATACATCACAGCAAAATAAAAATAAGAGGCAGAAAAACATGTATATGTTTGTTAAATCCAGATTCTACTGAAAATGGAATGTGTTTTATTTGAATGTTGGGATAGTGAGGTTTTCTAAGTATTTAAAGGTGCCATAGGAGATCTTGAAAAAACAGTTACAGCATGCTGTATTTTTTAAAATACACAACCATGCCTCTCCCTTCAGACCACCCCTCGAAACCACGCCTTCAAAACACATGAACGCGCATGCCGTATGTCGAGGTGTTCAGATGTTTCAGAAATCGAAACAAGCCGAGACCGAGTGCTTCTGACACGAGCTAACGACATAATGCTACCTTCACACCTAAAGCAGCAGAGGCAGCAAAAGCAGCTGATAAAGAGTCTTAAAAACAGCACAGCAAAAGGTCCCGCAGTGCGTCTAGAGCAGCAGGAGCAGCGCATTGCTGATATGGGAGATGATAGGGAGACAGACAGAGCACTGATGATGCAGAGCACTATGATCACTCTTCTGAAACATTTTATTAATGCCTGACATTTAAGGTTTTATGCTAAAAATATAAATTAAGTTTTATCAAACCATCCAAGGCAGAAACAGATTGTCTTAAAGGAATAGTACACCCAAAACATGATTAGCCTTCATTTTCTACTCACCTCCATGCTGAACAACACTCTGGAGTACTTTTTTGATATCTCAAATGCATCTGGAGATCTGGGAGGCTTCTTGCTGTCTGCTGACATTCAAATAATGGAGGTCCATGGCGCCCGAGACAGAAAGGTCCACAAAAGTCCACAAAAACGTGTCAATATTCCTCCATACTGCTCGTCCAATGTAATCCAAGTGTCCTGAGTGGGTAGCATCCAGAATTTACTCGAAACGAAGTCATTTAGAATGTTTTTAGAGCATAAACAGTAGTGTATAGGATTTCCTAATAGCGCCCCCATGCGCGCTCACGATTCTACGGAAGCCGGCAGACCAAACCGGAAGAAAGTGCGCATTCAGCGTCTGGTCTGCCGATAATGCAAGCGTAGAAGAAGAAATGTGCTGTTTACCTGTGCAAAGAAAGAAACAACGAAAGAAAAATGTCTGAGGACTTCAGTGTTGAGGAAGAGCATGAGTTCTTTGCCGAGCTGAATGCGCTGGTTTGGTCTGCCGGCTTCCGTAGAATCGTGAGCGCGCATGGGGGCGCTATTAGGAAATCCTATACACTACTGTTTAGGCTCTAAAACGTTCTAAATGACTTCGTTTCGAGTAAATTCTGGATGCTACCCACTCAGGACACTTGGATTACATTGGACGAGCAGTATGGAGGAATATTGACAAGTTTTTGTGGACTTTTGTGGACCTTTCTGTCTCGGTCACCATAGACCTCCATTATTTGAATGTCAGCAGACAGCAAGAAGCCTCCCAGATCTCCAGATGCATTTGAGATATCAAAAAAGTACTCCAGAGTTTTGTTCAGCATGGGGGTGAGTAGAAAATGAAGGCTAATCATGTTTTGGGTGTACTATTCCTTTAACTAACTAAACTAGTAGTTAATTTGGTGACTGAAATCAGTTTGTTTTCAGTGTGGCTGGAGAGAACACTGACTAATCAACATAAAAAATAATTAATTTATCTTAACCGATCAGTAAATTCATTGTTAGCAATAACAACTGTGGCGAGGATTGTTTCCCTGAGGAAAGAGGACCAACAGTGTTTTCCATTTGTCCTTAAAAGCTGGAATTTCTGATTTTCAAGTTGAAAATTTGAACTGAACAGCCCATAAGAGACAGAAAATTCAAGCGACATGACTGTAACCAACTCCCGCATTTACAAGGGCTGCTCCTTGCATTAAGATTAGTTCAACTTTCCTATTTTAGCAGTTTTTAGCAGTCAGCTTTAAAATATGCTCTATATAAATCTCTACAAAAAAGGAAATTAAAAACTGACAGAAGTTACAACTACTGACGCCATTAAACTAGTAATTATTAAAGTTCGTATCATTGCACTGGTGGAAAGCTGCAGATATAAGGGCTTCAGTCAGATGGATTAACAAAAAATACACGCAAAGACAACTTGGTCCACCTGACATTTTATAATTACTCTGCATAATGAACAACAGTTCTGTCATTACGTAGTGGTATTGTTGTCCGATCAATCATCTTAACATGATAACGCTGACTGTGCTGTCGCTCATCCGAAAACGCTGCCAGAAAAACCACTTGGGGAAGCGAGGACACTTGGCTGAGGGCTGTTGACGCCTCCGCCGACTGCGCCTCCTCACAGCCCGAGCAATCATAAAGCACTTAGTGTACCAAACACCCACAGAGGGAGGAAGAGAACAAGCCAGTGAGGGGTGAGAGAAAATGAGAGACGCTGCCACATTTTGTATCTTTTTTTTCTAATTCTACAAAGCAACATAATCAAACAATTACAGCCGGGCATTTTATCTGGCAAAACCTTCCTCTGCTGCAAAGCAAGAGCACTACAAAGCCATGAGAGGGCCAGTTGTTAGGAAACTATTTAGTCATACCTATGCCTTCCTCACTAGAACGGACAAATATCTGATGAGGGGATATAATCCTCTGGCTGTAAAATGTCAACTACGTACAGTTTCTGGTAGAAAATGGGAACAAGAGAGCAACACATTCGTCGTCTCACCTACAGCAGCAGTTTTTCTAAATGCTACCAAAAGCTTAGAAGAACTCCAGTAACTAAAGCTAAGCTTACAAATATAGTTCAACAAGATCAAGAATATGGATTTTTATGTATATTTATGAATTTAAGTTAAAAATAGATTTCCTTAAAATACTGAAATAATCTAAAAAAAAAAAAAAAATAGAAGTGAGAAATTATCTAAATACAACATTCTCAGAAAAGAACTCAGTGACTTTTAAACCTAAACGTGTCTATTTGTCAAATTATTTAACATTACTACTTAAAAGAAGATACATAAGGAAAGAAGCCAGGCACCGGAAACCATTGTCTTCATCAAGTTATGGAGGCAAACAGATGTTTTATTCCCTTTTTACACCCAAACAACAAATAAGGACACCACGGGAAGCTTGTGTGAGCTTGTTTTTAACAACAACAATAACAATAATAATAATAATAATAATAACAATAATAATAATAATAATAATAATAGAAATTTATTGATCTCACATTGGAGAAATTTAACTCTGCATTTAACCCATCCCCTCGGGTAGCGGGGCCGCCAGGAATTTGGGGCCCCATGAAAGACATTGATATTGGGCCCTCACTCTCAACCATAATTACGCAAGCGTTAATACTGCTATAAAGATTGATGTCAATGTAATTTTTGTTATTTTTTTTACAAAGGAAAATTATCAGAACATGAAAAAGTTAAATATACATTAACTTTAAACTTTACATTTACATCCTATGAAAATAATAACAGCTTATTTAAATAAAAAAGCACAGCTGTATCTATGAACACATGAATAGAAAATAGGTTTAGGATTGAAAATATATATTCCTATTAGTTTTTACTTTAACTTTATTAAAGGACGTATTATTTTGATGCCCTTAGAGCTTATTTTTCATTGATATGGATGTCTAATGACAATAAAACATGCATCTTTTTATGTGTCAACTTCAGGCTGCTCATAAGATCGATCATTTATAGATGTCTTTTAATGGTTTAAATTTAATCTGAATATAAAAATCTAACTAAACTGTTTTAATATTGACACAGATTTTTACATACATGCTTTGTTTTACTGTTTACTGCTGAGAAATGAGAAAGAACATGAAGATTATTGATTTTACTGGATTTTCTTTTTATATTTAAAAAAATATAGCAGGACAAATCTTTTCTTCTTCTTTTGGGCCCCCCGTTAGTCAAGGGCCCATAGAATCGTCCTAACCCCCATGACGTCCCCCACCCATACGGCGCAGCAGTGGGCTGCCATCGTGGGGCACACGGGGAGCAAACGGTGGTTAAGGTTCTTGCTCAGAGACCCAGAGGCAGTCTGTGGGAGTGGGTTTCCAACTCAACCTCAGGATTCCAAGCCCTATGCCCTAACCACTAGGCCACAACTCCCACTAATAGCAGAGTTTAAAAGCTTTTTTTTTATATATATATATGGAAACAGCTATGAAGATATGCACCTGAATAAACTGTTTTATGTTAACTGTTTTATTAAAGAATGTTAATAAATGTGAATAAACTTGAATCGAGACCTTCTGGTTTTACCTTTTGATATCAGATTCATTATGTGGTTAATGGTTTTAAGCGCCATGAAACAAATTTTTATAAATA